GCACCACCTGCGCCGATCAATGATCATCTAATGTTTTGCGATCAATGGTATCCTATCGGATGCACTAGAGCAAAATCATCTTTTCAGATTCTATAGCCATTGTTCATTGCAGTTAGCTTACCCCGAATTCAGTGTTTTTGCGTATTTCATTGCCTAAGCAAAAGATATCGCTGATGTAGGATCACGCAGGTGAAACGAGAAGTTCTGGCAAAAGATAGTTTTGAAGCATGCATGGAAGTAAGTGACGTAATTTACATTATGAATGCTGCGTAATGTTATATTGAAACAAACTTAATATACTAATGAGCTTTAGACCGATATGCTACTGGCGCGGTAATGCTGTGGCCATTGAAATGGAGCTTGGAGAAGATTTGCCTTCATCTCACCGCAACCTCAGCCATACGATGACCATCATCGCGAAGGCATGTTTTCTGACTAATTTGGCCTATGATAGCTACATTCATGGGTCGTTAATATCAGATCTTACTTCCTAAGCCAACCGTATACTAATGCACTATGACTCTTTACTCGTATTCCGATATTCGAGAAATCAAGACTAGCACTAAAAAAACCGAAGAGTTTGGGCGCTCTAGTTCTATATTTCTAGGTTCTCAATATTCCATTCTGCGACATTAGAGAGTGTCTATAATGTTACTTTTCTAAATTTTCAAGATATAACATGCAAGCACAACCACCACTTCGCGTAGTACTAGTGAATCTAGGTATTAGTGATGGTAACTACATTGTCTATAGCCAATGTTTGTTCTGCGAGTCTAACATTTTCATCTCTTACAATGCCTTCAAGCGCATGCCAGAGAGACTTCAATGATGGGACGGACATGTGTAAGATCATATCATGTTATTATGGTGTATAAGAATAAAAATGGGATACATCAAGGGTGAAAGCAGGGTGAGAACTCACGTGATACGTAACCCCAAGAAGATGTCAGGCTTAATGAATCCATGGTTGCTGCTATTAAAGCAGGTTGTCTTTCGCAGAAAAACTAGGTGGAAGAGGGGCTAAACTGCTAGTTCCTTTGTACAATATTAATATTAGTATGTATGCTGATTGGATAATAAAATCTGAATTTTTCTCGTAAAAATTAGATTCGAACATGTTTAAAATACACTGCTACTAGGATCGCAATGGTGAAATCAGTCCCTAATGTCATAGATCAGGCAGTGCATGATCCTGGCACAAAGACGTTTTCAGAAGTTCCTTCAAACAGAAAAGGGATTCCCAATACATTATTAGGCGCACTTGTTATCGTAGAGCTATTGCGAAAGTTATTGTCCAGCCAAAAGAGTCAGAACACGCGGTATTAAGCGTTTGCTCGATCCATCTCGGGAGCTTTGTATGTATGACACTGGTAAGGGTATGTCTTGATAATATAGAAGCACCTATGAAGCTAACGACGGATTTTAGCTGATTGTGGGGAAGCTGGGGAACCAAGATTGCAATTTTTTGATGATAGGTGATTTTTAGATATTTTAAGAACTCAATTCAAGCATAGGCCTAGACCATGGGCTATGTGAATACTTCGTCGATGCACTCAATGTGAAATGGCCCATATCAACTCCAGCGATAATTCAAAAAAAAGTACCCTTAGTCTTCCAAGGCATCTAACCACTCTGTAAAGGCTTTCAATTGCCACGTTCCTTTGAAACTATCGTGAAAATGTGAGACTCGAGATGTGCAGGCCAATGTCTTGCGCTTCAGCTTCCTTGATTCAGGCTAAAGTTCGAACTTTGTGAGTTGGCGCATGGTGATTCCGCCTCTAGCCTATACAGTTTTGAGTCGCGAGTCGTGTTGAATTCCTTTAAATGAAGAAATGCTGTATAGACATTTACAAAGTAGTGTCTTTAGGTGCATATTAGATTGTGGCCATATTGCAACAGACTGCACGACAAGTGGAGGCTTGACTGAATCCTAGAGTCCTAACTCGAAGATGGTTCAAACTGCATGAACTGCTGATGTTTGAGGGCGTTCAATGTGAGAGCCATACTCGAGTGGTTAAAACACTAACTATTCTTCGGAAAGATTGCAGTTGCACAGGCAACTTTTTGACATGTTTCTGCGGCAAAGAGATGAATTGTGCACTTTACCATATAAGGTCAGAAACTGAGTTCCTTGTTCAGTAGTCCATGGATATCAGCCAATGGAGACCAGTCAAATCATATCATAGGAGTAACACAGATGCTAGAGGGTTAGGGTCGGAGTGAGAGAAGAGGGAGGGACAGAACCAAAGGCAAATGCAGCAACAGAAAAATAGTGTAGAATAACATAGTATTGCGACACTAAATATGCAAATTGCAAATTATCTCCGTAATGTTCTCCTGAGCGACCATTTATATCCTGCCGCCATGCCTACGTACATCGTAGTATTCTGTACACGATATACGACAGATTGTCTGGCAGTATTTCAAGCAGCTACTGCTTGCTCACGGCGGGCAAACCTGAGCGATCTCTTCGAAAGACTAAGACCGTCGTATTTGGTGATACATATGGAAAGTGTTCCGTCCAGAGATGCAGCTTGAGCTTGGATGTCCGTAGCACGGGATTGGACTGAGTCGATTAGGCTGAAAGCAATGGTCTGATTTTGAATTAGATGCAATGCGCAGTTGCGACAACATGCAGCTGACTTACATCAACAATACCTTCAACCTGTCTGAGAACAGCCGAGATAGGTTGTCCAATGAAGGGAACGGTGCTGAACAATCCTGCCTTGCCAATGAGGATGTTCAAAAGTGCTTGGTGGACTCGAACGAACTGTGCCTGCGTTAATATATATGTGTTACACAGAGAATGAATGTTTACCTCGCGAAAAGCATTGAAGATGGCATCACTATCAGCTCCGGCGGCGACCGGTTGCATGCCTTGCATCTGCTGTACAGATGCAGTAGCCGTAGACACAATGTCAGCGAATCCCTGGATGATTTGCGGAAAGGGTCCTTGGCCAATAAGGATCAGGGGACCATTGAGGATTGAAATGCTCTGGGCTGGACCTTGAAGGGCCTGACTTTTCTGGGTGAGCATATTGATGTTGGCTGTGACCTGAGTCGGAGTGAGTTGTGCTGCAATCGGTGCAACCAAAGCCATGGAGGCGATGAAGATATTCTTGAAGGCAACCATGATGGTGGTAGATAGAAGTTACTGTGATGAAGTGTTTTTCAAGATCTGTTTAGATGAGCAAAGATTTGAAGTGATGTTTGATGATGGTTAAAGAGAGGAATTTGGAGCGGTACTTATACAAGTTTACACAATCAAGAGATTTACATGAGTCTCGACGACGTAGACCTGTTGAACTGTAGACGGCGACCTATCAACCCGATCGACATGTGAAAGGTTACATTCGCTCAGATCGATTGCATGTCGATCCTGACGCCTTCACGAGTATTGGAGCTGATAGACACCACATTGGATGAATCTTGAACATATGTGCAAGTTGCATTTGCACAACGTATGCAAATGCCCTTGGCATCTTGTCTTTCACATGCACTAGTGGTGGCGTAGTATCAGCCCATGCTGATCGAGAGATCATAGGTACTGTACTGGTTGTCCAGTGATCCGTTTAACTCGCTCCATAGGCACGGCCGACAGGAACGACACATCGGAGACATGATACCTGCATAGGTATATAAGTGGTAACTTGTCAAAGTCTGGGATTACCACAATTCAAAGATCATGGACGGTCAATTAGGTCCACAGATTACTTTAGTCTTGTATTTGATGATGTTTACATGAACGGTGCTGGAAAACGAGCTGGGTCATGTACAGCGCGCTAAGGCAAGCATGGACTCTGTACCACTGCGAATGCATGGCTCATCTACATTGCAGATCCGAGTGGGTCTTTGGTACACCGAGACTTCAGACACTACTAGCTACTTATGGTCATGTTTAAGAAATACGTGTCCATCCCTCACGCTTGTACTCAAATGCACTAGCTGAGGGTTACGGGGTCTTCAGAGTGAAGTGTTGCACACCTAATCCGAGACAAGCGTCTCAAGCGATAACTCATCATTCGAGCGCATGTAGATCAAGCTGCAATGTTGGAGGCAGTAGCACTTGTCGCTTTGCCCTGACTTAGGTATTCTGCAGCGGCCATTCACAGCGAGCAACGATTTAGTCTCCTAATTTCGCTAATCCAAGCCCTCGATGCTGATCGATATTGGACCCTGCATTGGCCAAAGAATCGGTGCGATCTCCCCTCAAGGTTTCGCCGTAGCGCGGATCGGGGTTGGTGGGACTAATGTGGTAATGATTCGCAACGCAATGCGCGCCGACCCGACGACTCTTAAATTGAGTCCTAAATGTACCACGAGATGCTGGCGCATGTTTCAATGACACACGGTGGGGGTGGCACACAGCTGAGAATGGCCGTGCTCGTTGATCATGTTTAGGCATGTTGATTGTGTTCCCAGCTGGATCTACGCACCCAATAGTTAATCTTGTCACACATTGCTAATCACAGAGCCATTCCCAAAGGATAGAAGAAGCAAACATAAAATTGAAGGTATGGTACGGGTGACAATGAGGATAGGACGCCAAAACGAAAATGCCAAACTGAACAGGTATTGGTGCAAAAGGAGAAAAATACCCATTGTAGTCGCACATCTCCAAGAAAATCTTTCGATGAACCTTCCACCAATCTCCGCCACATGAGGTGATTTTCTTACTCTTGTTCTCCAACAACGCGATTAATACTATCTCTAACAAGATCTACATAGGGTGGACGCTATGTGTACGTTAGCAAAGGCTCTGTGCCAGGCGTTATTGGTTACTTACCATCAAGGTAAAGTGATTAGCGCCTTCGGCGACAACGATATCATATTCCCCACCTGGTAACACTTCGTCCCAGCCATCAGGCCCAAAGTCTGTGCGTTTATTGACCATAAAGTGCATACCCTTCATCTTCGGTGCTGTTGCTTCATCCAGAACAGTATCCGAAGCCCATATCAATCCGAGCTTAGGCATACGATGGGTATTCAGAGGCGATGATCTGTATCCCATGGTCACATCGACGACAGCGATGAAGTGAGCAATCAGATAGTCAGGAGCACCAGAATCTGCCGATGCCCCAGCTTGCTGCGGGAAAAGTCCCAGAGAATTGCAGTATTCGTAGAATTCACGCGGAAGCTTTTCCATGGGCTGTGGTACTGGAGCATCAATAACGATGATGGAATGGACCTCCTCGCCCTGGTTGATAAGGAGCTCAGCTATCATGAACGCAAACGCGCCTCCAGAGGACCAGCCGCCAACATGGTATGGCCCGACTGGCTGACGACGGCGGATTTCATTCACAAAGCTCTCCATCATAGAGCCATAAGTGCAATTCATGTTCTCGGCATCTCGACTGTACGGGCAAATGAGGCCAATGAGGGCGATGTCCGAGAAAAGTTTGGGAATTGTGGTGTAGGAAAACACAGTTCCGCTGCCATCTGGGAGGAGGAACAGCGTCTTCCGAGCGCTCTTGGGGTTGCCTTGCAAAATCACCGAATTTGCCGGACGGCAAAATGGGACGAGTTCGACTGGACTATCTTCGGACTCTATTGGAGCGGCTACCGAAGATTTTGCTTGGGAGTCACCAACAGCATCTCTCACATTCCCCTTAAACCATGTCCGAAGATCGCCAACGGTGGCGACAGAATCGAAGAGCGAGAAATCCGGGTCCAGATCCAGATTTAACTCTTCACGAAGACGACTCCCAATCACAAGTGAGCATAACGAATCGACTCCTGCATCTGCGAAAGCGGTATCGTCGGTCAGTTCGTCCACAGCAATTCCGCTTTCCTCTGCAATGATCTTTAGCGACTTCTCAAAGATGTAAGCGGAATTCTCCTCGACTGGTGTTCCAATGGCCGAATCATGCAAACTTTGAGCTTTGGAATCTGATGAAGGCAAATTGCTTGGGCTATTAGTGTCCACGGCAACAGCTCGAGGCATCGAGTTCGTATGTGGGTCGGTTTGGCCAGCACGGCGAGTTGCGCGCTGTGAGGCAGCTTCCAGGACTGCTTTCAAAGCCTTACGAGGGACCTTACGGAGCTATAACATAGTCAGTCCTGCATTATCAGGAACGCGGATGTGCATGGCGGGGCTAGAAGAAGCTTACTGAAAGATCACCAAAGAAAGCGACCACCTCGTCTCCGTCCAAGACGATAACATCTCCATGAGCGTGATCCTTAGTTTGGGTCATCTTGGTGTATATCTCGTACGAAACACCCTTTTGAAGCTCTTTGTAAATTTGTAGTGAGCCCCAGCCGTGGTTTGTGAAGACGTGCTCGTCTAGGTGAGTATCATCTTTCGCATTCATGCTGAAACTGCTCAATTGCATAAAGGCATCTATGTATGCCGGGTGCGCCATATAGTTACCTAGATCTTGGCACCCGTCACAGCGCACGATGCACGTAGCTTCGTTTGCCTCCTCATCCAATATTACCGAGTCCAGTAGCTTGTAGTCCGGATGAAAGGATGCCAAACTACTCATGAGCTTATATCCTCGCTTTCCACTGTACTTAGACAGGTTGCTGCTCCTCGCTTTGAGTCGCTGTATAGCTGCTCGGTATTCGGGAACTTTCTTGCGCAAGGTTTTCAGCTGCGACTCGGTACAGAATCGGACCGTACATGAGGCATGAGCCGTATCCAGCTTCCCATCACTGTAGTATGTTTCGAACTTGATTGGACCGCCTCTGCAGGTTCCTGCCGCCTTATGAGGCCAGGTAAGAGTCAAGGTCGTGCGCAGCAACTGTGGCCCGAGCCCATGAGGAACCAAAGCCTTATCGACGACCATTTTAGAGACATCTACAATGCCATCAATGGCTCCAGCATGTCCTGCACGAAGCCGGTCCATTGTATACTTTCCAACCTGCATTGCAATATCGGCGTACACTGACGGTGTTGCAAGTGGGATTGAGTCAACTACATGGCCACGGGCAATGTCGTTTATATCCTTGCGGGACATATCTGTCTCAAATATCAGGGTCGCACCCAATGGGTAGGTTTGTTCTAAAATTCCTTTTTGGACCGACGTGGTCAATTTTATCAGTGGGTAAGCCTGGACATTCGGATCGCGCTTGGAAGGTTTCTTCACCTCGCCGTTGACCGCGACTGATGCTTCGTCTGGAACGACGATATTCTTAGCGAAATTGTGTTGTCCTGGCACGTATTTGGCAGTTTCCCATTGGTTTTCGCCGTCCGCACAATTACAGTGAATTTTATGTCGATGCAGAATCCACTCGCCTTCGTATGGAATATCGTAACTCTGCAGATCCCATGCGTAATTTGGCAGAGATATTACCCTATGTGCCGACTTGAAGGGCGCATGATACGCGACCCAGTTGATATTCAAGCCTGCGGTATAGAGCGAGGACAGCACAGCTTGGAGATTAGACCACACGTTTCCCTTGGCGTCTAACGTTGGGAATACCAATGAGTGGCCTAGAGTAGCCTTGACCATGTCGCATAGAATTGGCTTTGGGCCGATCTCAATCACGATAGTGTTCTCCTTGATTAGCTGTTTCTGCTTGGCCTTCTCCAAGGCTGCAACCAAGTTGACGGTTTTTCTGCAGTGCTCCACCAGGTAGTCAGGAGTAATACGATCCTCGGCCTGCATCACTTCTCCGGTTAAAGGCGAAAGTACGGGAATAGAGGGAGACTGGAAAGACACGCCGCGGCTGGCACCCTTGAAGTCGTCTAGTAATGGCTCGACTTGGGCAGAATGGAAAGCGTATGGCAGTGTTAATAGTGTGGACTTGGTGCCAGCAGCCGCAAGAATCTTCTGGGCAGCGCGCATATCCTCGAGCTTTCCACTGATCACAGTTTCAGTTGGACTGTTGATACAGGCGATATCGCCAGAGTAATCAAGGAGTATTCGCTCAAGTGCGGCCGTACCAGACCTTACTGCAAGCATAGCATGCGTGAACGGCTGACAAGTCTTTTCTAAGAGCTGAGCTCTCATTCCCACAAGGTAGATAGTGTCAGAGGCAGACAACACGCCAGCAAGGTACAATGCAGCATATTCGCCGAGGCTGTGTCCAAATACTGCACTTGGCTGAGCACCCCAAGAAATCAGCAAATTGCCCAATGCAATCTGCAGGCTGGTGATTGCAAGCTGCACTTGAACTGGTGACAGGTTCTCAATCTTTTGCGCAGCATTCTCGGCAGTATAAATGTGGATGAAACTCTGGAAGCCGTGCTTTTGAGCCAGTCGATCAAGACACTGAAGGTTTTCCTTAAAATCTGGGTAAGAATAATAGAGGTCCTTACCCATCCCAAGGAACTGTGAGCCTTGACCCGTGAAAGCGAAGATGATGTCAGATTTCCCCTTTTGTCGATACACCCCACTGCCGTTCTCCAATGCTCTGCGGATTGATGACTGCATTTCGGAGATTGAGGTCCCGACCAGGGCAACCCTATGAGCATGATGCCAGCGTCGAGCATTCGTGGTATACGAGAGTTGCGGCAGTGAGCATTCTTCATTCTGCAAGTGACTAAGGAGGTTCTCGAGGTTGCCCACCATAGACTTTCCCGTGTGTGCGGAAATAGTGACGATGTGACTGTTGCGAGGGTCGGCCTCTTCAGTGGTATGTGAGATTATAGGAGCATCTTCCAGTATTAGAGCCGTATTGCCTCCAGCTGCACTGAAGTTGTTGATCAAAGCTCTCCTAGGCGTTGTGCTGTCTTTCCTTGTCCACGACGTGGGCTCAAAGGCGATGTTGACATTCCTCGCTTTCAGGTCAGGAAAATTGCGGTTGATCCTACTGCCAGGTTTTATTCCGCAATGTGGAGGAATAATATTATGCTGCATCATGAGCAGCACCTTGATCACGCTGGTTACGCCGCTGACGCCTTCTCCGTGACCCACATTTGCCTTTGCTGAGCCGATGAATAAGGGATTGTTCTCCCGGGTCTTCTCATTCGGAGCGAAGCAAGTAAGGACTGATTTCATTTCCTCTGCGTCTCCTACCTGGGTGCCTGTACCGTGCATTTCGACATAAGAGATGGAATTGGCTTCAACACATGCCATGTCCATGACAGCAGACATATTGTCAATTTGTGCCTGTGCGAATGGCCGCGTGATAGATTCCGACATTGAAGAATGATTTGTTTGTGTCGCAAGTATGGTACCCAGTATCGGGTCGCCATCGGCGATTGCATCCTCGAGCCTCTTTAGAAATATAGTGCCAACACCTTCAGCGCGGCAATAGCCATCTGCTTGATCATCAAACGTCTTGCAGTTTCCAGTCCGGGAAAGGAAGAATCCCTTATCGAGACCCGTATGACCGTCGGGCATAAATATCATATTTGTGCCACCCGCGACAGCTGTATCGCAATCGCCTCGCCATAGTGAATTACATGCAAGATGAATGGCAGCTAGACTCGATGAACAGGCAGTATCATTAGCGTAACTAGGTCCCGAGAACTCGAAACAGAAGTTGATACGGCCAGGAATAAAGCCTCTGTTGCCGCCCGTGATAAAGTATGTGTCGACATTTTGGGCTGTGTTTACTTCCATCCAGTCATTGCTAGTGACACCATGGAATACACCAATACGATTCCGCTGCGTCGATGGTGTGGTATCTGGTACGATTCCACCCCGTTCCATCGCCTCCCATGTAGACATGAGTGCCATGCGCTGAGCAGGATCCATCTGAGGAGCTTCCTTAGGCGAAATACTGAAGAACTTTGGGTCGAACTGATCATAGAAATCTAGCCAACAGCCCCATTTTGTTGCTCCTTTGTTACGGGTCTTTCCAGATGGGTCAACATGTGTTTTGACGTTCCATCGTCGCAATGGAACTTCTTTGCATACATCCAGTCCATTGTAAAGAAGGTCCCAAAAGGATTCTGTACTGGGAGACTCGGGAAAGCGACCGGACATAGATACAATCGCAATCTTCTTCTTTTGCTCGTCGGGCCTATGATAGTGGTCACTCTTTCCAGAAGTACCGGACTTCTCTATCTGGACTGAATCAAAATGCGGATTGAGCGCAGACCGCAGTGAAGGAGCCGCATTGGTGTTGAAAGGCACAATGCAAACGCTGCTGTTGTTGTTCCGAGCTTTGAGAAGCTGTGGCACCGATTTCTCGACAGCGTCCCAAGCAACGGGTTCCAGCAGAATCTGCTGCAAGACAATCTCAATGAGAGCGCCGTAGTTCTCAGCGGGAGTCAATTGCCCAGAGGCACTGGAAATAAAAGGAATTGTAGATGGTGTAGTCATACATGCAGATCCTATGAGCGGCGAGAGGATCTGTTGGACATCTTCTAGTGTGAACAGATCAGGGTTATGTGCCGGGATGTAGATGGGAATTGATTTCGTGCGGAGGCCATCAACTTGAGGTACCTGCAGCAGCTTTTCCAACACCCAAGGAGCGCCACTAATTGTTGTGTTTGAATTGCTTGATATAGTAATCCAGGGTCGCTTCGGAGGTGGGAGTGCAAGTGAGGTAGATAATACCTGGATTGCTGTCGTTGCATCCTGATGATTCAAAGGTATTGTGACTGACCACGGGCGCGATCTTTCTGAAACTGCAGCTTCCAGTTGGTCACGCCTTTCGGTGATACATATGCCTAGACGAAACGCAATAAGAACTGTCTGTACAGCGACGGGAAGCAGCTCGGATACAGATCTGCTACAACTGATAGCGGCAGCAGCAAGTGCGCCTCCACAAATCCCTAAATTGAAATTACAACCGGCCGTAGGATAGCGACATAACGAATGATCTCTGTGAGTCATCAGTCTAAGAACAAGAATACCTATCTTGAAACATACCTCATGAAGCATCCAAGCTGGGTAAGGCAGAAAAGCGGCGTTGTAAAACTGGCCGGCAGGGTACCCTCCACATACTTGCGTAAGAGCTGCGCGAGGCTTGCTGTTCGGCATGCCTTGTGGATGCTGGGCGGTAAAGATTTTATAGCCTGAGCTCTGATAACGTAATGGGCCTGGTCTAGGAACGCCGAGAGAATTGGATTGTCGTTTGTCTCCAGCAACTCGCGTAGACTGGGCACAAAGTCGTATGACTGATCCCCGAACAGGAACAGACTGACAGGAGCCAACATATTCATAGCAAAATTTTTAGTGACCTGCGAAGAAACACTTGATGATGGTATAAGCTCTGAGCGACAGGCAGTGAACGACGTTACTAAAATGTGAGCCGCTTTCCATTTTTAAAGGTTCAGCATGCCCGCGAATTCATGTCGGCGCAACCTCAATCATTGAGTACGGGGAGAAGTTGTCGGTCACCATGCCTCGATCGCGTTCGCTCCGACAGTGATGTATTGCTTCATCATCAACGATAATTCGTGTCGTGCTCGGCATTCAGTTGTTTCGCCCGACCTGGAAATCATGTCACCACGTAATCACAATAGCCCGAGACCGAGCTTCGGGGTTGGGAAGCCATCAAAACTACCATTGCAAATGTGTCTCGTCTTCGATCGAAAGTCTCCAACATTATGGCTCGCATATTGAATGTTACAATTGTTGGCGGCGGCATTTCCGGCTTGCTGGCTGCACGAGTCCTTCGTGAGAAACACAATGTCACCATCGTCGAGCGCTACGCTGGGAACCATGAGTTTGGCGCTGCAATCACGCTCGGTCCCACAGCCATTAATATTATCGAGACCCTTGGCTTTGATCGCAAGCGAGGCGGGACCATGGCGGCGGAAAAGATTCTTGTCTGGAACAAAAATTTAGACAGAATCAGCGAAAATCTCACCAAGAAGTATACAGCAAAGCTGAGCGGGGACTTCACATTCTCTTACCGCCGAGACGTCTGGGATGAGTTCCTTCGACTCGCGACTTCGAATGAATTCCCTGGTAGTCCTGCAAAGATTCTTTGGGAATGCAACGTGGTCAATGTTGACGTCGAGTCTGGGACAGTATACCTAGACGATGGTCAAAAGATAGAAAGCGATCTTGTCATAGGTATGTATCGTCATTTGCTGGCGTCGCGCTGCGGCTGATATGCAATGTGAATGAACAGCTGCAGATGGAATTCGGTCCTCAGTTCGGAACCTGGTTCTCCAACAGGAAGAATCTGTATACGCTCGGCCATCTGGATCATCCGCCTTCCGATTTACAATTCCTGCTCCTGTAGTGCGCGAGATCCACTTGAAGCATGGCCGCACAGATGATCCTTTGGCACCCAACATGAACTTATACATGTCCATGGATGGGTCACAGCGCACGTGTGTGACTTATCCGTGCCGATTTGGCCAGCTACTCAGCTGTGCTTTCGTCGTTCCTGATAAATTGATAGCTAGAGAGACAATTGAATCATGGGCGGCCGAAGCTGAGGAAGGCGAAATCCGACGTCTATTTCACGACTTCAACCCAATATTTTTGGACCTAGCAGAGTAAGTGAAATGGCAAATGTTAGAGCATTGGAAGTGACACAAGCTAAATTGCGTAATAATTATTCAGTCGTGCGGAGAAACCACGTTGCTGGCGATTGCGGGACCAAGACCCGCTGCACACTTATACGCGAGGATGCACGATGCTGATAGGCGATGCTGCTCATGCGATGACTCCGCATCTGGGTCAGGGTGGCACACAAGCAATCGAAGATGCTGCTGCTTTTGAATTGTTCAATGACCCGGATTACGACGCTTGTACTGTAGAAGAGATCCTGCAAATGATGGACAGAGTCAGGAGACAGCGTGCTACTCAAATCCAGACATGGACCCGAGAGTTTCAGACTTGGAAAAAGCGTGCCTTGGAGGAAAGGTACACGTGGTACTGCTGGACGTATCCAGGTATCAAGGAATGCTTGAAGCGATTGAATGCCGGACTTGAAATGATTGAACTCAAGCACTTCAATGATACGGATGCAAAGCATTCCCAGCAACAGGCTCTGATCGCTAAGCCTGGAGTTCTTCAGGAGGTTGTTCCATAGGCGCTCTCCACTTTCTAGAGGACTGTCGTTGTGGCGCGACATGGTCGCAAGTGGTACCAGTACGGTAGTGCTGGCGCGAATGCAAATGTATCAAGTTCCATCATTGAGTTCCATCATTGAGTCTCTACATGTTCAACTCTCATCACTTTGGAAAAAAGTCCTGCGTCGTCCTGGTCAGCTTTTAGTCGCCCTGAGTTTGCGCTGTCCTGCAATAAACTTTTACTTCTCTCTTCGTTGCATACCTGTTGCACGCCAAGAAGTAGGTACGGTACCGGTATATGACATGGGCCGAATGGGAAATTGGTCTACCGATGACCGAGCCAAGGAAAACCCCGACCCGAAAAATGATGCCCGACAATACCGTACATATTTGTGATCCAGAGAAAGTATCTTGTCGCTGTAAAATCGAATATTTTGGATAAGGACCATTGTGCAGCATTTCGCAAGCCCATGGGAAAAACCGTGGACAATGGGGTCGACTGAATTTCAAGACAGTCATTACGGGCTGGCCGCGATCCCAAAAGCCCATGCGGACCCACTGATGGGTATGAAACACAACTTTCTGGCAGATGAAAGTACGCAGAAAGTAAGTCTGGTGGTGGGAGCCTACAGAGACGCGAACGGGCGACCGTGGAGACTACCTGCAGTGATTGAGGTAAGTGTAGTCGGCGCGTTCGGGAAAGATCACACTAACGTACTGGAAATTATAGGCCGAGAAGAGATGCTTTGAGGGTTCAAACTATTTCAAGCATGAATATGCTCCTATCTTAGGAATCGAGGAATTCACTCTCGCGGCGAGGCAGATTCTGCTTGGGAAAGACTCCCAGGCCATAGCTGAGCGACGGGTAAGACATCGGGCAAAGCTCGGCCAGCTCATAGGACGTCAGCTGCTAAGACGTCGTAGGTATGCTCTATCCAGACACTTTCTGGCACAGGAGCTCTTCACATTGGTGCTCTGCTCTTGGCGAGATTTTTGCCCAGTCCGACGCCTTCGGCTTTCGTGCCTGCACCCACATGGCACTTGCATGCGCAGTGCTTCGAGCATGTAGGACTGGCCGTCGACCACTATCCTTATTACGATGGCGTCCAAAAATCTATCACTTTCACTGATATGGTGTCTACTCTTGGGCGTGCACCCCCGGGGAGTATTATCCTGCTCCAGGTCTGCGCCCATAACCCTACCGGCATGGATCTCGACGAAGAACAATGGCGGCTGATAGTGAACATTGTGCAAGAGCAAAGACTGTTCCCATTTCTGGATTGTGCATACCAGGGCTTTGCTTCAGGCTCATTGACCGAGGACAACTTGGCCATACGTCTGTTTGTAGAGGCTGGCGTGGAGATGGTAATCGCACAATCATTCTCTAAGACTATGGGACTTTACGGTCAGCGTGTTGGGTGCTTCCACTACGTTGCAGCTGCCCACTCCAATGCACCGGATGTGATCGAGCGCGTGGCATCCCAGCTCGCGATACTGGTACGATCCGAAATGTCGACGCCCCCTTCATATGGGGCCCGAGTGGCCTCAATTGTGCTGAACGACCCCGAGTTATATGCTGAATGGGAACGAAATCTAGTCACCATGTCCAGCCGCATTACAGAGATGCGCTGGAAATTGCGACAGGAGTTGGAAGGACTGGAGACGCCTGGAACATGGGGACATCTGACAGATCAGATCGGCATGTTTGGCTTCACGGGCTTGACGCCCGCGCAGTGCCAGCGCATGAAAAGCATGCATCATGTCCACATGCCATCCTCGGGCAGAATCAGTATCTCTGATCTCAACCATGGAAATGTGGTACACGTCGCTACGGCGATCAATGAGGTCGTGAGATGGGGCCTTGAATGTTCATAGTACTCCTGGCCAAATCTGAGAGTTGTAATTCTTCACTGTCCTCCATTACTCTCACTTGACACACTCGGCAGCAAAACATTACATCATTCAACGTCCAAAAGACGTTCTAGCAATAATCAAATTGAACAACTTCTGGAAATTATTGTGCGACATTCAAGATTTGTCACTCGACAGAACTATGAAGATGAAATGTAGTACACAGATGTCGTACACAACTATACTGTGTATTGAATGTCATCTTGCGATAGCATGTGCTTGCTGAAAGGCCACCGGGATTGTGCTTGCTAAAGATCAAGAACATTGCACACCCTCTACTGATCAATCAAGCCGCACGGATAAATTGAATTCTTTCACTACGGAAAAAGCTGTTGCATCACGGGGGCAAAAGCTAGGGACTAGCTGTACGGAGTAGAAAAACTACAGTTACTATTTACCATGCGACAGGCGAGCCATCCTTCCACAGCACAAATTGACCCGATCCTGACTGTCTTGTCGCGTCGTCAACCTGCAAGGATGAAGTGTTAGCGGTGATTTCATGGTCGACACACGCATTGATAGACGTACCCGAGATAAAATACCCCGTGCACTATCATGGATAGTTGTCTCGGCCTGTTCACGTCCCAGTAGCCGGGCAGCATGGTTACCCATGTCGGATTGCACATACCTGTAGAGTCAGCACGTTGACAATGACAGTCGTGATGTGGTGAAAACCCACCCGGGATCCACGACGAATGCGATCAGCCATTCGTTTTCGTAATGCAATTTGCGAATCAGCCAGTTTCCGGCGAGCTTCGAAAGCGAGTACGCGGCCAATGGTGCCCTTCCCAATCGGTCCATGTCTGAAATCACGCCAAGGCGTGCGCCGATGTACACAAATTTCGGCGCGCGGATAGATTTTTGAAGCAAAGAGTTCATGGCCTGGAACAAGAGCAGAATCGAATACGCGTTAACCATCATGTGCTCTTCTAGTTGTTCTAGTTGCGTGCTGGAAGCCGGATGGTGATCGTTGGCGATTCCGGCATTGGCAATGACGACGTCGATATTGGTGATGCCGTGAACGGACTGCAACTCCTGGACAGCTCGCTGGGGGTCTGATGGGTTCGCACAGTCTAACTGGACGACTAGAAGTCGTGAGTTGGTACCCAGCGCAAGACCTTGAAAGGACGCCTGCGATGTCGCTATAGATCTGACGCATGCCACAACAGTAGTTGATACGCAACGGAGGAGCTGCTCTACCAAACCTCTACCTAGTCCTGCGTGTGCCAAAATTAATTGTGACTTCTTTACAATTTCCTACTGTTATGATGTGTACTCACCCCTGTTTGCACCAGTCACTAGATAGATTGTCTCACTGGCGCCTGCAAGCTCCATGCTGTCACTCCCGCTACTTGAGGGAACAGATGTTGCCATCCAAAAGACAACCGTACTAGTTGAGGTAATCAATATAATTGCGAACAATATAAGGGGCCCGATAATTGGAGTTAGATATTCGTAACCGTACGAGGCTCACTATGTCAGGAGCTTCGTCATCGGGCTAGATGCAATGCAACTGGGTTTTGTGATGCCGTGGGTTCCAGGCTATTGGCATTGCGGGCAGTGCCGACATGGCCGGACGTCCGATGCTTCTGACATGTCCGATGTCAGCCTTGCCTACCTGACTCCGGCTCCGGCCAAGTAGTGTAGTATGATTGCATGACATTCATTGCCTTGAATCACAGACGGGACATGTCAGTGTTTTGTCTTTATTGAAGCACGTATCTGTGTAAGGGTTAGGAGCTTTCTCTGGCGTGATAGGATGGTAGGATTAAGAAGAGATGAATTCATATTCTATCGTAGTATACTATTCTCGATAGTGCTATAAGTAGTTTCCTTATGATATACTGTTTTGCCTTGAATAGATCTACTTCTCTGATTTCCGTTTAGTAACAATTGAAGTTAAATCTGTCTAAAAATAAATGGTAATCTTGCCGAGTAGGTAGGCAGGGTTTTTGCGGATGTGGTTCAGGCGCTTGCTCTTGGAGGATGCCTACACTCCTAAAGTGGGCTGGCTTAAGTGCCTACTAATTATCTATGTCACGCTGAAATCTTAACTACAGCCACTATCTCGAAATCTAGGGTTTTAGAATCCTAACTGAGTCAACGTGAAAAGTTGCTTGTGCGGCGTACCGTTGTCATTGGTGGGACGGAGTAACTGAGAGGTCGGGTTCGCATAGGCTCCTCTTTCGCCAGCTTTGAAGGTACTCTCGTCCTCGGTCATTGTACGAATGCTACACGTGTCAATAGTTGACTCGATATAGGTGAGAGTGCCGCAAACCTTCACACTTCCGACAGCCTGATCCGAAATTTGGATACTTTGACGCAAGGCCCGTACGGAGTCGTGTGTATGTAGGGCAATCGTCGTTTGCATGACGAAAATGTGACAGCAGACATGGCCGACGAGCGAGCGGTAGCCAAGCACCGAGCATAGCTTATTAGTGTGTTCTGCTGCCAGCTCCAAGTGTGGCATCACAGCCACTGTATTCATCTTGCCGGAACAAATAACCAACCTTTGGCATCCCTTCCCAACATGCCTTTTTACCAAATGTCCTTCTTCAAGTTCAAGCCGGATGCGGATCCCGCACTCATCCAAGAGTGGCTTGCCATCAGTAAAACCATGCCGGAGAAGATCCCGTGTAAGTATCTTGATACGTGTGGGGACCATTCAAGGTCGATTAATACGCTGACATGGTATCAGGTGTTCGCAGTCTGGTAGCTGGCCGACCGGCGGGGCAGTTCAAGCACTTGGCCAAAGGCTGGGATGTGGCCGCGTGCATTGAACTTGACAATGCCGAAAGCCCCAAGGAATTCCAGGAACATCCGGAGCATGTCCGGTAAGTGAATCACAATGGTCACTCGTGTCGGTGCTGAAACTTGATTGTATGTTTACAGTCCGCGAGAATTATCGGCCCAAATCTGCGATAGAAATGAGACTGTTTCGATTATGTTTGAAGTAGAGTGAGGAAAAGTCATGCTCGGGGTGGCTTTCATCAAGTGCTCTCTGATAGAACAGTACAAGGGAATTGATCCAATGAGGCATCGATTCGATTCGCAAAAATACATGTCCTATTCTATCTACTGAGCCTCTATTGAAGACGACCAGTCTTGCTTCAGTTGACTCTCCTTGGCGTACTTTTTGCTATAGCTTTGGCCCAGAGCGAGGCGTGTGAAGTGTTTTGTATAAGAGTGATGGAGTGATGTTATCTGGCAGATGGTCAGCACCAGGTAAGTGGATAAGCACGCCAAGGCACTAGTCTTAGTCAAAGCGCTAAGCCTCTCTGGTACACCACATGCAGTATTCAATGAATCAATGCTGTGATTAGCTGCAGATCTCGTAGCATCTAAGTATGCCGAAAAGATCTCTCTGAGAGAGAGAGAGAGAGAGAGAAAGGAAGAAAGAAAGAAATTGTGCATAAAACTGTGATATTCTATCTTATTCTGCATTGTTGTTGTAATTTCCACTGCAAGCAAACATGGTTCCAGATTTGAAAAAAGACTCAGGCTGGGACGGGAACATCGAGGGCATTGACTCCGACACATAGCCAGGCGTAAAAGGCAAGAGAATGGAGAAGACCGAAGAAAGCGTCCTCGCCCAATGCCTCCACGCAGGCATCCCACAAAGGATCCGGAAGCCGGCCCGAAGCGGAGAGGAGGTGGCTGGTGACTTCCAGCGCCACGCTGCACGGACCCTCTAGCGACTCAGGCTTGTTCCCCGCCATCAACGCCTGCGCCTCCGAAGCCGTCACGATGGCCTTCTTGACGTATCTGCCACAACATCGACGTCAGCGACAAGTCTTGTGGTCGTCTTTTCTTCTCAACTCCTCGCCTACCTACCGGTTGCTCTGACTGGACATCTCGCTGGCAGCTTGGAAGTGCCCTGCGACGGCCAGCGTGGTCATGTTCCTGACCCGCTCGGGCGCGGCTAGGTGAAAGACGGCGACGGCGAGCTCGTTGTGCGCCAGGGCGATTCGCGGATGCTGCACATATAGCGGAAAGCCGCCAATGAAGGCACCCCGCTCATCCTGGTAGGTGAATGTCTCGCCATTCGCGCCGTACGCCCGTGACGTGAATGCTGCAAAGTGATGTGGTGGCATGTCATATGACCATGGGTTTAGCGTCGGGCGACTTGGGCTTTACTCCGAGTGGTTAGAATATCCCTGTAGGTTCAAGTCCACGTCACAGCGGCAAATTTTCATGGTTATATAAACTAGCCTATGGTCAAGTATAAATTAGGGTAATTTAAGCAAGTAAACGCAGTTTTTGTTACTATCTTTTTTAAACGTGTTCTAAACCTATTCTTAATAATATATAGGCGTTCCTAAATGCTATACTAGAGTTTAGTATAGCAGTACTAGATAACGTATCTAAACTAGATAGTAATATTAGAGATAAATTTAGGCAACTGTATAAAGTGCTAGAGGAGGATAGTAGTAGTAGCGTTAAGGAAGTAAGTAAAAGTAAATAGAATAAGTTTAGAATAGGTTAGTAACATGTTATAGGGGCACAATGTATACCTTACTTATAGTAATAGTTAAGGACTACTACTTATACTAGCAATTATTAAGCATGTAGCTATTCTCCTAGTATACCCTTAATTATATAGCTAAGGGTATAGGTATATAATACTAGTTTAGCAATATAAAGATAGCTCTTACCTAATAAAAGAAGAGGTGCTTATACAGGCTATATAGGTAATATATTAAGAACACGTTCTTAAATTATTCTAATTCTAGCAGGTATAGTACTCCTGCTAGTCTATCTATCTTAATAGGCCTATAACTTTACTATTCTTTAATAGCTAGCTAGCAAGCTAGTATAAATACTAATACTCTAGGGTAAAAGTGTATAAGTATCTTAAGAACATGTTATAAATATATTCTTATTATATTATTAATAATATATTATATAATTAGATCTAAACCTTAAAAAGTGTAGTACCTAAGAAAATTCTATAAAGAGAACTACAAACAAGAAGCTATTATTATAGCCTTATTAAGCGCTTCTCTTTAAGGATTTATAAGGACTACTAGGTATCTTATTATCTTATAATAAGGACTATAGTAAATTAGGTAGGGAGCGAAACTTAAACATGTTTAAAACGTGTTAACAACAAGTTAGCAAATTGTAGAACAGGCTTAACTATACATTAGCTATTAGAACTATAGCCTAATATCTGCTACTAGGAAAAAATATTATTTTAGTTAGGTACTACTAGAGGTAGACTCTACATATCTATAAGGTCTTCTAACTAGGGAGATATTAAATCTTTCTAGTAGTCCTGCTTTATATTCTGTAGTTAAGCCACAGTTAAGCTAGATAAAGAAGTGTGGTAGGCATATTATAACCTATTCCTAACACGTTCCTAACATGTTCTAGGCATTAATTATCTATAAGGGCAAGGATCTCTATTTAAAATCCTGTGTGAAGTTACCTTCTAAGTAATTATACTAATAGATATAGTAGCAATACCTTTTTTTGCTATTATTTCTTTTAGTATACATACACATATACCTCCTCCTCCCTTAACACTATCTAATAGTAATATTAAGGAAGTAGTAAAGGTATTACAGCCTATGCTTACTCTGTAGCTTACGTAATATAAGTTATTTGCAACCTATTACAAACGTGTTCCTAACTTGTTATAGCCTAGTTCCTAAACTTAACCTAGCTCTAAACCTATCTCTAACTTAAAGGTTTCTATTCTATTAAAGAAATGCATATTAGCTTTGCAAATAAAGATAAAATCTTGCGTATTATAAAGCGTGAAAAGCTTCTATAGTTCCTATTTAAGAGTAGCCTTAGAGGAGTACACTATAAGTAGAGGATAAAGCATTAGGATCCTAAAACTATACGTGGTGTAAGAGAACAGGTTTGGAACACATTGCTAACACGTTACTACAGGCGTATATACAGCAAATCTTCACATTAAGCTTAGGTAACTTAATTATTTACCTTTTTAAAGAGTAGGCATTAATTCTATTAGATTAAGACACGTTCTAGATAGATATATTATATAAGAGGTTATATAGGGCATAGGTAGAGATTCTAATAGTAATCTTCCACCTGTAGGAAAAGAAGCGTACGCATTAAGAATAGGTTTGTAACACGTTTCTAACACATTGCAGTTATTACACTTAGCTAAATTATTATAGACAAGGATATAACTAAGATATATTAAGTTGCTATTACTAACTTCTTTTAGAAGTATAAAGCACTTACAAAAAGATAAGTGTTATAGAGGTATATTTACTTACAGGGATTCTATAGGACTACTATTAATATGTGTAACAAGCAGATAATAGGCAAGTTTCACGGCGCACTGCAACATGTTTGTAACGTGTTTCTAACTTGTTTCTAGGACTTAGGCGCTATCTCTAGTTAATTAATCCCTACAAGCGTGACTAGCGCTAGCAACTTTAATCTTGTATAAGATTTTGTTAAGTATATCTATAAAGAAGTATTCACAAAGCATGTAAAAGAGAGCTAGATAATACTACCTCTTTACGTCTAAGTGAATTACTACAGGCATTAATAGTAGAGGAATACTTTTAGCTTGCTAACCTCCTCTTACGTAAGTAAACACATTCTAAACCTGTTCTAAACGTGTTCCTAACTTGTTCTTACATAATTAGAACACAAACCCTCTAAAGATGCCTAAAACTAGGCAATCTATAAGAAAAACCTAGTAATTGCTACTAGGATTGTGCAATACTGTAGTAAAATATTAAAAGAGGTATAGGAAAAACTAGAATCTTATTTAAATGTAGCTAAGCAAGCAGGCTAGAAAGGATATAAAACTAGTAAGCATGTAAGTATTCTTAAGGCTACTTAGAAGTAAGTTTACAACCTATTCTTAACCTATTAGAATTGTATAAGTAATATTATATAGTGCACACTAGATAGATCTATAGGATATAAAAGAGTTTAAAGCCTAGAGCAAGTTTAGAATACGCTATAACTATAGAACTCCTAATAGGCTTAAGCAAAGGTACCTTAAAAAGCTTTAGAGGGGAGAAAGTAAGTCTTACGCTAGCGTTATATATATTCGCTAATTAAAACGTGTTTAGAACGTGTTTAGAACGCGTCCTATAATAATAATAACACTCTAGATAATAATAAAGCAAGTCTTACTATATCTAACTTAACTAGATATATCTTAGTCCTAATAAGAAATAAAAGAGCACGCTTAAAAGCCTAAAGCTAGAGGGCAAGTAGTAGAGCGGTATTAGAAAGAAGTTCACTAGCCCCTTTTCTATCTTCTCTACTACTAGGCTCTTCTCCTCTACTAATAGTAACTTAAAGGTATGCTTCGCGAAACACGTTTATAACACGTTTCTAACTTGTTATTAGTCTATAACCATAAACTTTGTAATAAAAGGCTCTTCTTAGTAATTAGGCTCTAAAGGAGAGAAAAGAAAAGCTAGAGGTAGATAAGGAAGAACTTGCACAGAAAAAGGCACTATTTAAATTACAAAAGGCACAGTTTAAACTTAAGAAAGAGATAGCTACTTTTTATACAAGGTAGGGTTAGTCTATAAATATAGTAACTAGTTCCTAACTAGTTCTTAATATATTCTAGTCTATCACGTAAGCATATATAAGCAGATAAATATATATTCTTTCTTCTTCTCTTTCTTCTTCTTTCTTCTTACACTCTACAAGAACTTTTTATATTTAAGAGTTTAATACTGTTTTACTATCTATCTTTCCTAATATTATTAGATATAACTAGTTAATATAGTCTATAAAGATCTTTTAAAGTTAGTATATAATAGAACGCGTTAGGAACACGTTGTAAACTTGTTCTAACACTAAGTAGGATTTATACTAGCGATATATTAAGCTTAAGTCACTTCTATCTAATGCTAGGGCATTCTCTCCTATAATATCCTACCTAAATAATAGGTGTATAGTATTTCCTAGCGAGCTTTTCTACTAGGCTATTTAGGCTAGATTAGGGGTACAGGAACTTTGTAGAGTATGTATACATATAAGTTAGAACACGTTTACAATATATTAACAACTATTTTAGCGTTACTTCTCTAATAGAGGCAATCTTATCTACTACCTTAAGAGGTATTATCCTAAGGTTTAAATAGCCCTAGTAAACTGTGGCAGAACCACAATACAAGGTATTATAGAAGCAAGGATCTTCTATAGGAGCTTAATAGTAAATGCTTAAGAACGTGTTCTAAACACGTTAATAATACGTTCTCTGCTAGTAGAGCAGACTATACTAAGTGCCTCCTCTAAGGTTTAAGAACCCTCTAAGATAGCTAGTCTATAATAAGAAGTGGTAGCTAGAGTAGAGGCTAAAGAGGAAGCAGAGAGTAAAGAAGAGGAGCAAATAGTTGCTCCCCTTTACACTGTGAATAATATTTGGCAAAAGTAGCAAAAAGGAGATATAAGTCTAGTCTCTTAAAACATATTTAGAATATATTAACAATACGTTATAGCTAGACACCTATAAATGCTAGATTCTTCTTTAATCTAAGGGACTGCTAGAGCTTTACAATACCTATAAAAGTTAAAAGAAAAAGTTATATACTATTAAAGGACCCTATAAAAGTAAATAGTACTTTACTTTTAGTAGATAGAAAAAAAAAGAGAAGAGTAGAGAGTTTATTTTAGCAATTACTACCACCCCTTTAGGTTATATGCTATTATATATTATTTATTAGAACCTATTCTTAACACGTTCTTAATATGTTCCTACTTGTTGCTATTATTATCTCCCTCCCCCTCTCTAGTATCTTCTCTATCCTCCCTATCCTCCCTAGGCTCTACAAAAGCATACTACAAGTGGAACTAGGCGGCATTCTAGTAGGAATTAGCAAGGTCTACACTAGCATTAAAGTAATAGTCTTAAAACACGTTAGGAACAGGTTAACAATATGTTATAAACAACTTACTATAGCTAGGATAATTATAAGCGCAGATAGCATAAGGAACCTAATAACCTTAAATCCTTAGTAGGGTAGATATAGTAACGAAGTTAAGCTATAACAAGTTAGCAACGTGTTTTTAATAGGTTCTTGCAGGCTATACCTTATTACTATTATAGCTACTATAAGTCTTCTTCTAAATTATATTTAGGAGGGTATTAGTATTTACAGGGGGGCCTATAGTAGCTACTAGCTAGGCTTAGAGAACTTCTATAAAACACGTTAGTAACAAGTTTTAAATATATTCTAAATAACTTATAGCAAGGAGTGTTCTAGTAATTATATATAACCTTTATGTAGAAGTCTATATATATTAGTATAACAAGTTAAGAATAGGTTAATAATATATTTACTCTTTACCTTACAGACCTCTATTATAGAGGGCTAGCTAGTCTTCTTAACCCTACTAACCTTATAGTAGGCTATATTAAGCCTATAATCTTTTTTAGTATAGGTATATAGAGTGCCCCTAGTACCTAGAATAGCCTAAGAATATTAGAACCTATTTAGAACATGTTTAGAACCTATTCTTACTCCGCATAAGGTGCCCTCGTTGTTAATCTTAGCATGGTAGTAGCGCTCTCCACTCTCTATCTTAACTACCCTATTAGGGCTAACTATAGGCTATGCCCTAATATTATCTAGGACGTAGCTAAGGGCGAGGTACTATTAATAGTGCTTCTATAACCTATTAAGAACACGTTCTAAACACGTTTTAATCTGCTTACGTAGGATAAGAGGGATGTGTTAGTAATAGGCATAGCGGCAGTAGCTTATAGTATTACTAGTACAGAATGTGTTTAGAATAGGTTTAGAACGCGTTGCAAAATCTTACAGCATAATATTTAGTTAACCTCGCTTAGCTAGCTAGTAGAGCTTGGCACGGCCTAACCCCATACTGAATACGAGTTCACGCAGCGCTAATTCCATGGTCATATGAACTGCGCCCTCCAAAGTGATCGTGCACCTTCTGCTGCTCTGCGTCGAGCTCGTGGCGCGGCGTGGGGGGGATGCGCGACATGATGGTGCTGCTGCTGCTCAATGCTGCTGCTCAGCAATGGAGCAGATGCTTTTCAACCTCGACCGAGCCCCGACTCGCGGCTCGACTTCAATCCTGTATACTGCAATACCGAGCAGCCCAATGGACCGACGTGGCTCTGGCCCCCGACTCCTGGGCGTCGGTGCTCGCCGACATGTTGCATGTTTTGTAGCACAGGGGCTGGCCCCCAGCACAGGAAGCATCAGCCCTCGTTGGCAGCATCACTGCTCGTTCTAACATGCCCTTGGACATTGTCGTCGTGGGCGCCGGCATTGGTGGACTTGCCACCGCACTCGCCCTTCGCCGTTGCGGCCACAGAGTCGTCGTTCTTGAGCGAGCGGTCGGCAAGACTGAAGATGGATATGCTCTGAGCTCGACGCCCAACGCTTCCAAAATCCTTCAAAGACTGGGCATCGACCTCTCAAATGTAGGCTTCACGCCATGGCTGGGCATCGACGGCTATGTGGGAGACGTCGATGCCACGACACCAGCCTGGAGAACATTATGGGTTCCGCCGCCAGCAACGATTGAGGATCGCTACGGAGCCCCCAGCGGCTTTATCCATCGAGCCGATCTGCACCGAGCCCTGTGGGATCTGGCAATCTCGACTGAGGGAACAGGCGTGCCAGTCAAGATCGTCGAGGGTGTCACAGTGACCTCATTCAACGCAGTTGCGCCCAGCGTGTCGACGGCCGCTGGCCAGGTGCATACGCCGGACCTGGTCATCGCCGCAGATGGTGTTCGATCGATAGCTCATGCTGCAGTTGTGGGAGAAGAGCGGCCAGCAGAGATGCCAGAGGCAGCCAGCATTCGATTTGTCCTTGCATCCAAGGACCTGCAACAATACCCAGCCTGCATGAAAATGGTCCTAGAGAGCCCGTGGCGGATGAGCCACTTTTCAGGTCAGGACAAGTCAGTGGGCCTCTTTCGCTCGGCCTGCCGAAAGTAAGTATGCCCTGAAACTGTGTGGCAAGATGAGTTGCATGGGAGTATTGACCAGACGGTACTGCTACAGTGATGAGATTCAGAACTTTGGCGTCTACGTGTACCGCCATGTCGACGAGGCCAAGATTTGGACAAAGGCAGAGATTCGTCAGCTGGCGCTCCAGTGTCTCGAGTCCTACAAAGAGCCCATCCCACAATTAATTCGAGCAGCCCCTGAAGATTCGTTTTACCTACGCAGGATAGCTCATCGCGAACCGCTACCCCAATTCTACAAGGACAGACTTGTTCTTGTTGGGGACGCTTGCCATCCCATGATGCCCTCGTTTGGCCAGGGAGCTACCAGCGCTATCGAGGATGCAGCGGTCTTGGGCGTAGTGTTGAGGAACGTCCATCGACCTCAGCAGATTGCATCCCGCTTAGAGATTTGGGAGAAGTTACGCAAGCCGAGAGCCAGCGCCATGGTCTATCTGTCCCGCCGCGACTCTACTGCTTTCGACGTTTCACCGCAGCTACAGACTGCCATGAGAAGATTCCTGCCCCCAGATCAGTTACCCGAATGTAAGTTTTGGAGCCTTGTCCTGCCTTTTCGCGTGCCACAACTGATAGATGCGAAGTCAGTCCGTCCGCCATCGTAGATTGGATATGGGCATATGACTGTATAGAAGTGGCAGAGCAAGCAATGAAGGGACGATGGGAAGATTCCTGAGGAGGGCTGGACTAGTTTCATTGGTTTTTTGGCTTATGGTTGACTCAACCATATCTCTAATTTATTCATGAGCGAAAAAAAGAACGTGTAGCTTCCATAGCTCTTTTATTTTTCTAGTTATCTAAGACACGTCGCATATCTCCATTTCCTTCGTGCTCCCGCCGCCAGCTCATCTTTGACATTTGCCCAATCGAATGGCAATGCCTGGCCATGCTTCTCAGGCCATTGTCTGACCCCAAGACCAGCAGGCAGAGCAGCTCGCAGGTGGGGTTCTATTACGTCTTCCAATTGCGTCGCCTACCAGTACTCGAATCTCCTTTACAAGAGTATCTGTGAATGACAATCAACCTTTCTCTGGGCCATCGGTTTCTTGTAAATGGCGCTCTGTTGACGCGCAACAAGACTAAGGAGATGTCTTCAGGGTCGCTGCTGAGCGCTGTTATTTAGAAAGTCATAAACCGCGTATTCTGCTCCGCGAACTCGTCAACCTTCTTGTACATGGTGCGCCGCTTTGGATTTTTTTGTTTTTAGAAAGGATCGTGTATATCAGCTAATTTGTCGCATACAAAAATGAACAAAAAGCTCTCTCTTTTTCTCCACCCAATCAGCTAGAGCGGTGGAGCATCGCCCAAGTAGTGCGTCAGGTAGGAAATACTATCAAATGAGCTTTAGATTACAGTCAAATACGATAGCACAAGATTGGATGGGCTGAAGGAACTTTCTGTCAACCCCAACTGTTGCTATGATGACCTCACCCCAGATCTCTGAACTACCATCGCACTCATATAAGCCTTCTAATACTGAATTACGTTTTTCCTTAGTGGAAAGAGACGTATGCCGCCATTTATCGGTCATCAATCCTTGCAATTCCATATCGCCGACGGTCGGTTCTCGGCATAACCACCAACTCGTTGAGTCTAGAACTCTACGATAAGACAATAATACGAGCGGATGGCCACTGGTTCACTCAAAAAGTACAACAGCCAACCAAGATTGACAAAAAGTAATTGGCAGCTGCAATGGTCCAGGCAAATGACCGCTTCGATCGATACCTACAATGGCTATCTGGACCCCAAAAAGAAACAAGCAAGACAGCGGTGCTAGGTGGGTTTCCATACCTTCTAGACGGTACAGTCGCTTCTGCATATAGAAAGCTTGCCAGAGAGATCGACGCTCTCCAGGTTCCGAAGGAAGTCAAGGAAACAACCAAGTTAGCAGTGGCAGCTCACTATGGAGCGACAGGAGAGATTGCTTGGCTATCCAGCCAAATCAAAGCCTTGACGACTTCACAAGTGGACTCCATTATCCGGCGCACGAAACCTACCACTTTGACTCTGGCGGGAAGCGCGGCGTACGATGCTGTCACGTATCTGGTAGGCACACCAGGACCATTGCCACCTCAGTACTGGGAGACGTGTGTCGATACATTGGGGAAAAGTGGAACCATTGGAATTCTTCATCTCGTTGGCCTGAACATCGGAGCTTCCATGATTTCGAATGCTATTGATGCCCCAATAATCAGTGTTGAGGAGTTGTCTGCGGTGAAAGAGGATTGAGAGACTTGAACATCGCTGTTTGCATAAGGCGTACGTGCTGTGCAGCAGGAACCACCACGAGAGTCGCTAACGTAGCCTAGCAAGAATGAGAAGAAGTGCCTCAAATCCTCGGGAGTTCAGACGTATAGGGATGCGAAAGTCGGTCAACTAGTTTCTCTGTCGTTGTATTTCGAGTGTATATAGTGCGCAAGACCCCCAATCCCAATCAAATGTCTCGGTATCTCGGAATCAACATTGAAACCGAATAGACAATGCTCTTGATTCCCGACAGTGGAAACCTAGTGACCGATCACATTTTAAAGTTCCAATACTTGTTATCTCCGAGCTCTGTGGGTTGGCTGCCTGTATTTATTCAACATCACAAGCAACTCATAGAGAATGATGGTATTACTCAATTGAGAGATCCAGCAACTCCACTCTTGACTTGGCATGCCAATTCATAACCACTAGCAATGGCCCCTTTCAACACCATCTTACTTCTCGGCGCCACGTCCGGTCTTGGAGAGTCTGCCGCTAAGCGCCTCCTTGGCCAAGGGAAGAAAGTCATCGTCACTGGCCGGCGACAAGCTCGTCTCAATGCGCTGAAGGCTGAAGGTCTCGAGACCTACGCAATGGATGTCAGCGACCTTGCCGCAATCCCAAAACATCTCGACACCCTCTTCTCGACTTTTCCTGACATCGATACTGTATGGATCAACAGCGGCATCGCAACGCGTTACTCGGTCAAAGATATCAATTCCTGCAGTGATGCCGATCTCACGCTCGAAGTGACGACCAATTTGACTGCAGCAGCGATCATCGCACGTCACACGATTCCTCGCTTCCTCGCCCGTGGAGAGCACGTCGAATCGCACTTCCTCATCACCACTTCTGGCTTGGGATTTGTGCCCATTCCCTCCTTCCCCGTTTACAATGCTTGCAAAGCGGGCCTTCATTACTTTCTCGTCTCCCTGCGCCAGCAACTCAAAGACTCTCCAGTCAATGTTATTGAGATTGTGCCGCCATATGTGGCGACTGAGTACGTTCGAGAAAACCGGGAACAGGCCCCTAAGAATCTTCAGGCCATGTCGCTGAAGGACTATGAGGACGAAGTATTTGCCCAGCTTGATAACATTCCGGCGAAAGAACTTAAGGAAGTTGCTGCTGGGCCCTCAGCTCTGAGGGTCAAGGCGTGGAGGGACAGCCTTGGTGCAATGGTTGCTAAGTCGCCATTCACAGATTAAGATTCTCACCTACATAGTCATGAGTGTGGTGCACGTAGTAGTCATCTAGGTTATCTCACCAATTGGATTTTGCCCTCTTGTCATGAGATCGGAGAACGACGATCAGTTCGTCATCAAGTCCAGCACAAATTTCACGCTTCAGGACCTGACCTTGCTTTCACTTGCCGTTACTGTTCTTTTTCTAGGCGTGCGGAGTGCTTTTTTCTTATGCGCCGAATGACAGCGGTCGGATGATCGGGGGACGGGATCGGCTCATCAAATGACAGAAGTCTATAGATACTGTTGCTTTTAGTTAACTAAAAGCAAGCAGCTGAGGATCCAATCGCAATTCGTCCCAATGGTGGCTTGTTGCTTTTAGTTCATGAAGTGTCTTTTGTCTTACCGTCGTTACATATACATGTTGAATGGGGTCCTGGTATCCACTAGCCGAACTAAATAACCTCGTCAAGTTCTTTTAGCCTAGTATGGGATACCAGAGCTAGAGCATTTAATTCAGGTCGCACTAAATAAGAGGTTGAAGTAGTCAAGACAAGCTTTATACTAGATGTTACTAGTTAGACTGCGAAACCTGTACATCTCAGCACTACAAACGCGTCACGTCCATAAATAACTTCTGCAAGGTATATATCCATTAGTGTCGTGTTTCGGCTGCAGCCAAACATCCTAGTTTGGGTACTAGAGAAAAGAGATATTAAGATCTTTCTGTGATCGACGACTCCTTACTTGTATTTATTGCGTGCAATGGGTAAGATGATGAGCATTTGGCTGAACACAAACTGCACGACAAAATTCCACTCGCAAGCCCGAAAATTATACCAAGGAACGGCGATATGAAGAGTATCGCAATCACAAGCCACAGAGCTCACATCGCTGTAGACTGCCTTAATTCGCAGATATGGGAATCTGCTGCTGTTCAATGCGCCTTATAGGGAAGTACTATTTGCCTTGACTCTTCAGTTCGTTCCATAGCTGTTCATATCAGTTACCACCGCAATGTTTATACTTACGCCTTCTCCCTATTCTACAGTCCCAACTTACGTCTTCGTATGGTATAGATTGAAAGATAGTACACAGACCTCATTTCGTGACTTGCAGAAGCAACTGGAAATCTATCGATACGGCGAGAGGAAGCCTAATGGCTTTTAAGCGTGTTGGCGCGCATATACCGCATGTAGAGTGACTATAATTCTACACACGTCATGTTGACTGAGTTATCCTGCTAAACTGACAGAGGTACTTAATGGTATGTTCAAGTGAGATCGCGATGCATACATGTACCTTATGTACCTAGCTAGCATACATCAGCGATAGCGGAAACGAAGAAGAGCTAAGACGTCGTGAGTAGTTTGATCGAGGCTAGAATCATTAGATCTAGATGATTGCACCACAGACTATGGTCTTCTTAACAAGGGCTTGATAGTTTCTCCATGTTAAGTGACAGTCGGCACTATGGCCATTATTGTACGGAATTGCACCACACCAGTTTCTCGCCCCCTCCAATATCTTGGCAGGCCAGAGATCACGCTATCGAATGGCTGATTGGCAAGGTTGAAACATAGGTCCTGCCGCTTAAGCGGGACCATTGCACGCCACTTGAATATTCTGCAGAAGTACTCTTCACCTAAATCTACAGCGTAGTTAGCGAAACAGCGTGTTGTGGAGTTGGAATTTCTAGTTGGTGGGATGTGAGATCTCAAAAGTGCTTCGAAAATTCAACCTGACGAGACTTTGAACCTATTGGCAATCTTTCGAATGTATACCTAAAATAACCTTCACTTGACATGTAACGCATGTATTTAGGATACGGAGTATACCAGCTTGACTCCACTAACTAAACCCTTGCGAAGCTGGTCAATCCCACCTAATACTCCTTCCCATCCACCTTCTCCAAGCCGTACAGGGTGCGGCTTTATTAACCCCTTCTCCAGTAGTTCTTGAGCCAGCTCGTAATTTTTCCTTGCGAATGCGACATCTTCCGGGATGACAGGGGTGTGTACACCGAACTGCGTAAATGGCTCTCCGAAGGAAGTATAACCTGAATTTTTTTTGCTCTTTATGTCTTTACGAGAGTACTTCACCGGCAGGACGGAGGCAATCGCACCACCACAACTAGAAATGCAGGCCTCACAGATGGCGGCACTAGAACTCGTGCTGATGCAATCAAAGACGTGTTGGAGGCTGTCAGAAGTATAGTGACGGACCTCCTGGGCGCATGTAGAGCTGTGGTAGTCGAACGTCTTCTCGGCGCCGCGGTCAAGGGCCAGAGAAAAATTATGTGGTGAGCAAATTGCGACGACCCTAAAGCCCGATAATCGAGCGAATTGTATTGCAAGAGTGCCCATTGAAGTGCTTGCTCCATAAATCAGGATCCATTGAGGAGGGTCTGCAGCTAGGGGGACCACTTCAATCGACGAGTCAGGCAGAGGAAGGCCTAGAAAATGATATAGCGCTTGACCACAGCTGTTTATGGCATGTGGAAGAGATGCAGCTTCCGTATCGCTAAGGAATGATGGGACTTGTAGACCCAAATTTCCTTTGGAGAGCGCGTACTCGCCAAAGGCACCTGTGACAGTTTACGGATTAGCTCATGCTAAAGATGATAGCAGCATTATTGAATCTGGGCCCACCTTCTTCAGGCCGGTCGGTGTTACAACCGTGTGAGATGGTGGCTATGCGATCCCCTTTCTTCCATGGTCTATCGACTTTGGAGCCAACTTTTTCAATGCTGCCGCCTAATGGAAGCAATTAGTCCTGATAGCATGGATCTAAAAAGACTTAGCAGACTGGCTTACAAAGATCGATCCCAACTGTCTCCCCTCCACTACCGTGGCGATCAATGATTTTTCTGCCCACGTTATAAGATGGTAATCAAAACAGGAATTTTCGACTTTTGTACTCACGCATCGCTAGGATTGACCGCCACCGCTTTAACTCGGATCAACACACAATCATCTCGCAAATTCGGAGTCGAGGTTTCTTGCACCTCTGCGGTGTGGTTCGTAGTTATCTTGATCGCTTTCATTGCTGCTGTTTTCCTGCTAACTTTGATTCTGACTCACCCAGAGAATCAGATTGCTTCGAGATGAACGAAGCTGTAGCCAGTATTGCAGTGATTAAGCCTTATCAACACCGACGCTCGCACCGAGGGCACATTCATACCCCTGCTCTGACCGAGCTTGGCGCTGGAATCCCGAGGAGAAATCACATAACATGTTCCATGTGAGGCCTTGGGACAGTCGTGAGAGCATCCAGCCTCGGGACGACTCTGAACACATACTGCTCTCGGTGCGAGAGTAGCGACGACAGTAGACGTGACTGGAGTACCTTATGCGCAATCATGGTTACCATGGGGGTGGTTACCTATGTTTGCACCTCTGTCCAGAATGAAATGAACTGTGGGATCAAACAGGAGACGTAGGCGAAAGGGAGCCGTGGAACGCGCCGCGACCTTTCTTGCACCGAGGTCGGGTGAGCAAGTTTTGCCGAAGTCTCAGCGAGCACGGAACTCCGACAGGAGAAGTAGCGATGCTATGACCGTGAATGTACGTTAGCTGATCCCATATAAAAACCTCGAAGTTGCGATATGTGCTGACAATAGTTAACATACTTTCAAAGCATCAAAATGGCGTCAACAATCAACGCAGAATCCCTCTTACACCTGGCTCAAAATCCTCCTCAAGATTCTCGAGAACGATTTTCCCTGTATGAAGCAGCACGACGGCTTATGTTATCTGTGGAGGACCCAATGAGCATGGGGTCCCGAGTTCATTTCAATGCAAGACTTTCCTCGTACCAAGCTGAATTTATGGAAGCTAGGACTGACCACAATTTGTAGCTGACCGCAGCTGCAGTATCTCAAGTAGCAATCGACCTCAAGATATTCGAGCTGTTGATAAAAGAACCAAACGAGCACTGGTCAGTCGACGATTTAGAGAAGCACACAGGTGCGGAGGCCAGTCTCCTGGGTATGTTTTCAGTTTATACCCCGAGAGAAAGCTGTTTCAGTGAAGTAGTCTGATAGATTACAGATCGGCTCATGCGTAATCTTGCGGTGAACAATTTGGTGCTCGAGGTTGCCAGTTCTACGTATTCTGCTTCTCACCTCACCGCACGCTGTGCGTCTGCAGCATTCAGAGCCGGTTTGGCACACAGGTCAGTGCTTCACTTTGCGCAGTCACTCCTATCAGACTGACGGATCCTTGGCTTTCCAGCAAAAACCTGATATGGCCAGGTCTACAGGTACTACCCACGTTTCTGGCTGAGAACGGTTATCAAAATCCTCGTGATCATGTGCGATCGGCATGCATGAGAGGCGTGGACTTTGATGGCGATGCAATGGCTTATTTGAAAGAAAACCCTGAGCAGGCGGCCGCGAGCTATCTCTTCATGGCGGAGAACAAAAAGGAGGCTCCGAAGTGGGTAGATGGCAAAATTCCAACGACTGACCTCATACTCAGTGAGGAGGAACTTGCCGACAGTCGCGTCATGCTTGTAGATGTTGGTGGCGGGAGCGGACACCAGTGCGAGGCCATTCGCAAAGCTTTTCCCCATCTCAAAGGTCGCATCCTGGTAGAGGACCTCCCTTTCATGGTCAATAGGATCGATAAAGAGCATGCTCGCACAGTCGGTTTCGAAGTCGTTGCGCACGATTTCTTCAAACCTCAGCCAATACGCGGAGCCAAGGTCTATTACATGCGCAACGTCATCCACGATTGGGACGATGAGCGAGCGTCCGCTATCCTGCAACCAACTCACGAAGCCATGGCCAAGGACTCTGTCCTGTTCATTGATGAGATTATTTTACCGAAAGTTGGCGCTTCCAGTAGGCAAGTACACATGGACATGGCTGTCATGGTTTTTGCAGGAGCCATGGAGAGGACAGACAAGCAGTGGAAAGATTTGTTGGGCAACAATGGGTTCGAAATTCGAGACATATGGGTCTACGATGAGCAGCTAGGCGCTGCAATTCTTGCCGCTGTACCTAAATCGGAATAGATTGAAACTTAGCTATCTTAGCTAGAAATGCGTGGTTGGAAAGGCTGAATGCCCTACTCTCCTCAGAACCTTTTGCAATCACTCCATGGCAGATGGCATATGCGGTACGTGATACTGTAAAATCGTACGTTTGCGATGATAGTGTGACTTGACTTCGCAAATATGTCGTACATCTAGCAGAGAGATTACCAAAATAAGCCAGATGAGTGGTGTAGAGTTCGGCGTAGAGAAACCCACGTGGATCAGATGCACAGTTATCTCCAGAAGAAGTCCCAGCATGAAAGATGAAACTCCAACCAATTCAGATGTACATAATGAGTCTTCAGTGGCCTGGGCATGGTGAGAGCATACTACTCAAAATCTCGATTTGTCTGGCGCTCACCGTATGAAAGATGCAGCAGAAAGAAATTTCCCATAAAGCATGTCACAAAAGAGCATGTCACAAAAGTGCATGTCACAAAAGTGCATGTTTCAAGATTGGTATTTTCGGAGAAATTTCCAAATCTCTTGTGAGATCGTCCACACCGTAATGCCGCTCAATTGTGACCTTTCAAGCATTCTAGTCAAATATTATAAACTATGTGAGGTGCAGCTTCTGATTGACAGTACTTCATTCCCATAAGTAGACAACCTTACATACGATTCATCATGCAGTCTGTCCACAATGGGCCAGGATTGAAATTTTCATTTTTGCAAAAAGAGCTATTTTGAATGTACACTGTGTCAGGCTGCCATGATCCCATCAAAAGTTGGGACAGCGGTAACTTCTATCCTAAAATCTGCACAAGATGTAAAACGTTGATCACTTCTCCTGTCCCCCTTTCCCATAAGTTCCTCGGCATGCAGGCTCAGTTGCCCTGGTTCTAGGCTAAGTAGAGACCTGTGACACAGCTTTTGTTTCGACCTGATAGAGTGGCCTTTTTTGGGCAGATGATGGAATGGTACCGTCTCGAATAACATGATCCAGTGATGTTAGAGCAGGGCCATTTGATTGAGGCTTTATAGCATCTTCAGGACGCCCTGTGAAGAAGGCCAGCGGGATGCTCGGGCCCCAAACCTTGATCGAGTCGGGTTGAACTTGTTCGTATGTTGGAGGAGTGTCGCAGTTGACAAGATCACCATCCGTGTAGTGCTCAATAATGTTACCAGAAGCATCAAACCTGGATAGTGTTCATCAGAGGCGCGCCCAAGTTACCGCGCATGCGGAAATGCTCACCAGTAATCGAAGATATGGCTTCCATATTTGTGCCGGCCTATGCCGTAGCAACTAGTCCAACCTGTTTGCAGTAGCCAGTCGTGACCAAGCTGCTGAGTATCGAAGCTATCGGATTCGAAGCTACAGTGGTGCGGTGTTGCCTTAGGGAGTGGCTTCATCGCTCGAGATAGGAAGATAGTCTGAATTTGTTGGTCAGCAGACGTGATAAGAATGCTTGTTTGTGAATTAGTACGTACATGATGATCGACAAATTCTTTGCCTTTGTCGATGTGTAAAAACATGAAAGCGGGCTTCCCATCCGCTAGTTGGAGACAGCTCGACAGCTTAAGGTTGAAAATGTCCATGTACCAGCTCACTGCCTCATCGAACTTGGAAGAGTCAACTCGCAGTCCATAATGTCCACATTTGGCAAGCTGACAGGGGCCGCGCTCAAAGGCATGAAGTGTTTGCCGTGCCTTTACTGTGCCCGAATTGAGGATGATCGGCGCAGGCGCTTTCTCGTTGACTTCAGCGGCAGACCTCGTCTTCGCCCCATGAACCAAGGTCACTTTCATTCCCACTGGGTCTGTCAGCACAACCTGTTGCCCTCCACCGAGTGAATTAGAATCCTCGATGCTTGATGCTCCGGCAACTCGGGCGGCCCGATGAAGGTCGTCTACAGACTCCACTGCGAGAATACCTCCAACAAAGTGCTTCCTGTCATCTAGCGACTTCTCGGCAATGTAAACATAAGTCTCTGGCCCGAAGCCACGATAGTACGTCCTGGTCTCCTCGCGCTGAACAGCTACCAAGCCAAAGTCTACCAAAAACCGGTCGATCGCATTGAGATTAGGATGCTGATAGTGTACTGCGATAAGACGGTTGAGCTGCACCTTTGCGTTGGCCATATCGTCGTCAAGTCTGTGTAGTATCGTCCGTCCTCTATGACATGCAGTACGAATTGTGGCATCTTATGGCGCGCTCTTTTGCTGTCTCGACTGTTCGGTAATGTTCACTAGGCAATCCCGAACACCGATCGGATAAGGACACCAAGCGATCGAAAGCACAACGTGCACAGGACTGACGATCAATCGTACACCGAGCTCGCGGATAGGAGCTGCCCACTGCCCAGCACGGACATGCCCGATGGTAGAATCGGGCCATACCTTCGGTCTTGCTACGTCTCTGTTTGGTTGTCCTAATGTAAGTAACCCTGTAGATGGCTAGGGCGATAGGGCCAACTACGGCACTTTTATCCGGTGAGATTTGGCCTCGGTTCCACTACCATGGTACAGTGTGCACTGTATCAAGGTAATCTAGCAACCCTGGTACGGTGATATATCTCATCAGAAGCACCACCGGCGGCGGAACAACAACACTGCATGTGAAATAAAGCACTTTTCTCAACAAAAGTTCCTAGACAAGTTGTTCCTGTCCATTGTGCTTTCCGTAATGTAATACGCTTGGCAGTCTGTCATGTGCTATAGCCATGGTTGTACGGTAACGTGTTACCCCCTGATGGGCCAGTGTCTTAGCTAGGATTGTGCATTAGATAGCCAGTTACCTAGCTGCTAGACTAGACAAGTTACAATGCATACATACTACATTTAATTCTTTTTATTAACCGGATACTGCATCTTGCAGGTACGTTCCTCTCAATCGGTGAAAAGGTACACGTGATATATACGGAATAACTCTTGTACACTTCGTATAAGTAGTACTGTGCCCTGGCACAGAGTAATGACAGTAGAGGTGAACTGATTATACAATCATTGGGGTGGAGATAGGCACTAGCAGGAAGGATATGATCATACAACTATCACGAAATGAGAAAACAACAAGATTCAAAGCTTCACCTTCTTATATAACCATTTATCCTCTGAAAGCATTCCTGATTTAGACAAACCTACTATTTAACATTACCATGACCTTCAACCTAACAGACGAACGACCTGACCCACCACGATGGGGGAGTTTCAGTACTTTAACCAAATAATTGCATAAAGACATCAATTGGTACTCTCTGTTTTGCCACTGAAAGTTACTGCCCATAGCATAAGACACAGCGACATATATGCAGATGCTAGGAGTGCAAATTGGGTAGTAGTATAGCATATTCCGTAGAGTAGTAGTATAATATATTGCGTAGCGCCAATTTGTAGCATTTCTTCTATGTCAACCGTATCCATGTTGCCACAACACACCGAATCATGGCTTCTAACCCCAAGATTAAACGTTGAATCGAAAGGTCTCGGATGCTGAGTCATAGGATGCACGTGCAGACGGGTCAAGCAGAACTCTCTCAGTGTCATCTGCATCGTATGGTGCATGGTCGAGGATCTTGACAATCTTGTTCTCCATCACTGCTCGAGCATATTTCCTATCAGCGCGCTCCATGCGCAACAAAGCTCGTGCACGGTAAGCAGAATAGTCCTGCTCACTGAGCATTGCGTAGAGATACTTTGATGCAACACCAACCAACTCTCCGCTCTTCTGTCCAAATCCGAAGGACGTGAGTAGGAAAGCCTTGGGATCCGTCAGAGGTATCGATTCCTTTAGTACCACCAACATAGAAAATGTTCTCAGCGCTGGGTCTACATTATCTGCATTGCGCTGAGGGGGCAATGTGCCATCTCTCATGATCTGTAGGCAGCCATTTAGCATCCAACTGGCAGCTGGGGCTTTTGGATGGCCGGTTAAGGCCTTTTGAGCCACTGTCCAAAGAGGTCGGCGGGTGTTACGGCGTAGATGGTGCAGCTGCCTGGAAATGACTTTAAATTCATTCAAGTCACCGGACTTGGTGGACGTAGCATGTAGAGAAACAAAATCCACGTCATCTATCGTCAGCTGATGCTGAGCCAACGAAGCATGCATTGGAGACAACAGTGTTTCGACGTGACTGGTAACACTCCACGGAAAATCATCCAGGTCTTGATCTTCAAGGCTAGACATTGTGTCTACTGCTGTCAGACTCGTTTTATCAGATCCGCTTGAGTATTGCATTGGCTTCAAGCTTTCTCTGGCAAAGGTGAGAAGTCCTTGTCCGGGCGCCGGGACTGAGCGGCCAACAGTATCGGCCGCCATTGTAGAGCCTGCGATGATCCCATAAATGGGTAGTCCCATCTCGATCGCTACACTGGCGCTGCAGATTAACTGGACTCCACAGCCGTGTGCCTCCACAAACCCTCCCCGACTTTCAGTCAGTGGTCTCGACATCTCGTGTGGCAGACGACCTCTTGCCGCTTCCTCGGTCGTGTTGACTGTTGCCTTGAGCATTGAGAATCCATATGATTCGTCCTCCTGAAGATCATCGTAACCGCCAACGAGGCACATCTTTGTCTTACCGGATCGTATTGAGTCCACAGCGGAGTCAATTGACTCAATGCCAGTCGCGCAAGCACCAGAGGGCGTTTTAATCGGGCCCGAGGCTCCAAGAAGTAACATGTTCACCCACGCAGCTGGTGTATTAGCAAACGAGTCTGCGAGCGTATCACTTGCTATGGGACGATCGAGCAGCGTATCGCGGTATAAGCTTCTCACTTTGGAGCTACCTCCCATTAACGTGCCAATGAAATTACCAAATTCAGCAACATGTATGTGGGTGAAGATCTCGCTGGGTTCGGGCAGTCCTGCGCTATAGAATGCCTCTGCCACACAGCATAGCGTGAATAAAGTACTGGGTTCCAGGGCTTGCGCAAGATCTGTTGGTACTCCATAGGTTTGGGCGTTCCATCCTTTGGGCATAAGTCCAGCTACGACACCAGCTTGAAACTGAATCTGCTTTGGGATCATAATGCTTGCGCCTCGCTTGATTCGAACGAGACAGGTTTCGCCGTTGGGGTGTGGTCTGATGAGAACTTTATCGCCGTGCTTGCTTTTGAAGGCGTCTGCCGAGGTCCGTGTAGCTTCGAACTCCGGCAAGTCCTCTGTAAGGACCGTTTCTTCTAGCACTTGTCTCTTAGCCGGGTCCCACTCAGGTATGTCATGTGTGGCCAGGCGTCGCACACCTGAGTGCTCTTTAATGTAGGCCCCGTACTTTTCTTCAATCTGTTGATCTGCTATCGGTGCACCTGTTTTGGAATCGCACCACCCCACATAGAAGCTACCGTCAGGGCGATGCCCATTGTGGTGACGAATGAGACCCATCAGCCACGCCATCTCAACGAAGCCAGAAAGACTCAGGCGACCTTGAGATTCAAGTTCCCACCTCGTACGTGCGCTGCCATGGGGTCCCAGCTCTGAGAAGCCGACGACTACAATTTGATCCGCAGGACCTGCTGCTTCGAGGCTGAACTGTGTAGAAAGGGCCTCTTGCTTGGACAAAGGTAGGCTTGGAAACCCAACTCGAAGTGTTGCTCTCCGATCGATGAAGGGTTGTTGTGCTTTGGGGGGCTTTCCATGGATTAATTCTTGCTCTCGGATTCTCTCCTTACAAATCGCTTGCCTTGTACTTGAGACGAATTGAATCTCGCGGCGAGCTCGGGATATGACTTCAGAACAGTCTGTCAAGCATTCGAGAGCACCTCCAAAATCTGCAAGTATTGGCTCCGTCTCGCAGAGCTCGACCATGGTTGGATCCATCATAGTAACGACGTTAAAGGCCATCTCTTCAGCGGAGAAAGTCAGTACGCCATGCGACTCGACTGATTCAGCGATGGTATCATTTGCACGCATAAGCCTGGTCGATCGAGTCCATCCGATTACGGCACCACACACAGAAATATAGTCGCCTGCCCAGGATTCGGATTGGGCACGGTGTAACAGGGCCTCGAGGCCAAGTTTAGATTCAGCGTAGAGGCCGTCTCCACCGAAGGTTCCTCGGTTGGGCGAGAGAGGCACAATCACTTGAGTAGGGTGGCAATCTATACCACGCTCCTTCTGGCTTGTGATCAAGCGACCGAGAAGACGGTAAATATTTACGAGCATCATCCTGTGTGCTAATTCGTTGTTGGCGCCTACTTGCTCAATCTCGGCACTATTCTCCACTGCGGCAGCGAACGGAATGACGGCGTCGAGCTCGCATTCCATTACAGTATGGATATAGTCAATCAGATGGTGACAGTCTTGAGCACTGGCTAGATTGGCTTGAATGACCCTCAGTTCGGAGCCAGCCGAGCCGTTGTCGTAATACAGCTGCTGATAGACGGCAGCTGCATCAGCCGGTGTTTGTCGCGTGGTGACAATGACCTTGGCTCCACTCTTGAGTAACAGACGCGCCACTGCCATGGCAATTGATCCGGGCCCGGCCCCTGTGATCAGCACAGCTCGTCCCACGTATGACCAGCCCGTCTCGAGGCATCGCTCCATGACTGAGAACAAGTTCGACGTCAGCTCTGCGTCCGGCGCCCATGAGGAGCCTCTTTTGGATCGCAAACTGACGAGACAGCCAAGTGCAGGGCGCGAGTTCACGTCTTCACTTCGAATCGTTTCTACATAGCCCTGGCTTCGTTCTAGCTCGACATATGTAATTTTTCCCTCCTCGTCGACTCTTGTTTGGGGCCTACATGATTTCAGCAAGTGAGCGAGGCCAACATCGTCATGAGACGAAGGGCCTTGTCGTTGGGCCTGATACATGATTACAGGGGTTTATGGAGTGTGGCCGCGAGCTACATGTGGCGTGCGCGTCCCTGCGAAGTTTCGAGTTCAAGTAGGCAGTACAGGGTATACATAGGCACGTCGGCTCGCATGCCTACTGCTTCCGTATTGTATCGAAGAAAAGCCGAACCATTCGTGTTTCAAGATTCAAAGGAATGACTATATAGGATTGGCTCGGCCAACTTCGGTATAATACGGAAAGTGGTTGACATGCAACCTGACCTGACTTTATCCTATACTAGTATTGCTTTTCGTTCTCGGTCTGGAGTGGCAACACCCTTTGATGCTATTGAGGTCTTCGAAAAGATAGATCATCAGCACGACTTGCCTGGCCCATTTGTGAACTGCCGATTCTCCTTCCAGCACTGTTGACCATGGTTGAAGAATTCCTTGACCCTCAGCCGTCACCTCTTCCGCAGCTACAACAGCAACAACGACCTTTCCGAGAGTCTTGTCAAAATTGTGCAGACTCTAAGGTTCGATGCAGTAAAAACAAACCTACTTGTGCACGTTGTGCCCGTCGAGGAACGCCGTGTGTCTATCAACAATCCAGGCGTGCTGGAAGAAAGGTCACGTCTAACGTACACGCCAAACAAACTCGTCGTGCTGCTACCGAAACCCTCAATGAGAACCCCCCCGCGGACACATGGGCGGGCAATGTCGACAATAATAGTTCACTGCGATCTTCGCCAGGATCCGAGACCATCTCAACTGTTGTCATTTCCCAAGGAGCCTCCACTGACAGCCAAGCACTTTCGGAGAGCTCATCAGCCTTGGGCTCTGTTCCTGATCGTTCTGGCCCAACAGAGTGGTCTTCCAATGAGCTCTTCAAAGCCCTTTGCACTGAGTCGGCCCCGCTCTTATGTGGAGATGATCTTGGTTCTGTTCCACACATCGCACAAGACTCGTTTACTTTGGACGATCAATTTTGGGCTCTGGGTAATGCAAGTGACGGGACGATCTTCGATGATCCAACGCTAGCGTTTCTCGGCTTGCCATCCCCAAGGCCTGAAGCTGCAGAAAATAGCCTAGTGGCTGCTTACCGCTTTGGAGAAACAACTTCGTCCATCTCAACTTGTAGCGATGGCTGTCCCGCAGTCATTTCTCGGTTATTATCAGAGTTGTTCGTATCCTGTGGCACAACATGCGAACGCAACCAGACGCAAAGCGCAGAGCATCAAAGCCAATCTTTGGTTGATATCATTGCTAGGAATAAAAGAATATCAGAGGCTATGGATGCTATGGTGGAATGCACATGCGGCCAAGACGTCCACATGTTGTTCCTTGTTGGCCTATGCACCTCGAAAGTCATGTCGTACTATCTCGAAGCTACGCGACTTGAGTATCTTAAGAGTACCCAAAAGCCTGGCGACTCATTCAACACTAATGAGGATGAACATACTCGACCAGAAGAGGAAGATGACGACGTTGAAGCCAAGATAATGTCAGCCCGCATGGTTCTTGGCGAGCTTCATCGCATCCAGCGACTCTTGGCCCGTCTATCCGATCGCCTAAAACAGACAGAGCCAAGAAGTGATCTGCTCAATGGTTCTGCTGATTTAGGAGATTCATCGAGAAACGAATTAGAAACTCCATTCACTCGTTCAATGCTCGAGCAGCTTGATTACAGCTTGCGAGCTCATCTTCGCTACGTGTTTACATGCATGTCGCGCGTGGCTCAGCGTGCATGATGCAGTATTGGCTGCAACAGAGTAACAGACAAGACAATCATCTCTTTTTAAGAACGGAGTTGGACATTTCGCGGATAACTTCTGCTGCTATTTTACTAAATCCTCTCGTTATTTCGCCTACTTTCATGCGAATCAACCTCCTCTGTTCCAGAAAGAAGATTGCACTTGTTAATGACGACTCTTCAACATACAGATCGTTCTACAAAAACCACAAAAACATGTAACTTGTCTTCTAAACTTAATTGTGCTCTCGGTGTTCAGTGAGCCGGATGAGTCTGAGTAATCGCCCAAGTGACCTTCCCAGTCTCGGGAACCGACACCATATCTGTCAGCCCCGATGTGTCCTAGCGACCAAGTCGGGACATTGCATTATCGTTTTGCAGGTAGAAGAGCCAACTCTATCGCATGAAGCCTTGGGCTCTGTTGAATATGAGATAGCCTCTGCTTCGATACTCCTCACCAAAGTCAACCATGGCAGAGAATTCCAACAATCCCCATGTTCTCATCATCGGAGGAGGCTTAGCTGGTCTCGCTCTAGCGCAGGCATTGAGAGCCCAAAACTACACTTTCCAAATGTTTGAGAGAGATATTTCCGAAGTGGGCCGAACTCAGGGATGGTGCATAACACTGAATGGCGAGTATGAATGCCCCACCTGCGAAATTATGCTTTACGGATTCCAAGGTTTAGATCTGACGATAGTTTCCCAGCATGCTCGACAGCTTCGCTCAATACTTCCCCAGCGATATGCCGGATTTAGCCCAGGTGGATCACCTCTGTGGTACAGGCATTGAGACCAGCAGTGCCGTTTACCACGCCTCGAAGAATGTCCTTAAAGAACTCATCCGATTCGGTTCCAAGCTCGGGGACAGACAAATCCGTGCCAACCGTGGTAGACTCAGGAGCTGGTTGATGACCAACATATCCGTCCAATGGGGAAAGCAGTTTGAGAGGTATGAAGAAGATGCCAATGGAGTCACTGCTTATTTCAAAGACGGGTCTCAATTTCATGGTGACATACTCGTTGGTGCAGATGGAATACACAGTCGAGTGCGAGCACAAATACTTCCCGTGGTCCATCCTGGCTTTCTGCCCATGGGTGCCATCTGCGGGGAAATAGAAGCACCTAAAGAGCAGTACGAGCGGTGGATGCAATTGGGAACGTCATGGGTCTCTGCCTTTTCAGATGACTTGCGAGTGACTTATCTCGTGAGCAGTGTGTCGGAAGACCGAAACATAGCCAAGTTGTATTGGCTCTTCGGATGGCAAGACGAGGATGCTCTCAAAGACGATTTCTGGACATCTAAGGCATCTCGTGAAGAAATGCACCAATTTGTGCTTTCACGGTTGCATAAGCTGCATCCACAGATTGCGGAGCCCTTCCAAGCGACCCCTGTTGAAGGCATGGTACTACCGCCCCTCCGCCTATGTGATATGCTGCCCCCAGTGTTACCAGCCGGTCGTATTACCTTGGTCGGAGACGCTGCTCACTCTATGACGCCTTGTAAGTATTCTTGAACACAACCGCGTGAAGGTTTGCATGATATTATCTAACGCGCAGGCTCGCAGTTCGTGGACAAGGAGGCAATGTTGCCATGGCAGATGCTATCAGTCTAGCGCGATCGATTCATGAAAGGGGAGAGAATCAGAGTTTATCAGACGTGTTGAAGCTTTATGAAGAAGAGATGCGACCCCGAGCAATGGTGAAGGTACTAGAATCTCGAGCCGGTGCTTACGAGGCAAATGCTCAACCGAAAAAGGAAGCAAATGGCTCATGATATCTTAAACTGTCCATGTAGCACGTACAACACACTTGATGAACAGTATACAAACCAATTGCACACCAGCTACTGATATTTCATGATCGACACAACTCGATGTTGGAGACAGGGTGTCCATCAAAGGAAACTATCCAGAGACACCCGCTTTATGGAACGTCGTGAACTTTGGAGTAATTCAGGTAACCTATAATACTTAATATGTACGCTTGACAGGCCTTCATATAAGAATACGTATAAAAATGAATACAAGATGCTTAGGGAAACATATTCATCAACAATTTCAGCACTAAATACATATTACAAATCATCTAAGAAGCCTTGAGACCACTGCTGCGCGTTGCGATTGCAAGTGAAACATTCGCGAGAGTCATAAATTCTATCCTCATTCAATTCAGGCATTGTCTACCGCACCAAACCAGATAGAGTGATTAAGCCAAGAGCTGCTCCCAGAATGGGAAAGACGGTGCGAGCAATGTTCAATTTTCGCCACCTGCCAACGAGATACTGAGCGTCCGCGAGATTCGTCGGTGTTCCAGCCCGATTCTTCTCAATTTCCGCGAAAATGGCATTGTTGATGCGGACAATGAACAACCAGGTGAACGGAACCATGGACATGGTGAGCGCACCAGAGTATGCGTAGAGAGCGATCGTTTTTCCGCGTTCTTGGGTTGTCCAAGCAGCCGTCCAGTAGAGTAATCCGCTGGCCACAGCCAGCTTAGGTCCAACCTTGTGCCCCGAGCTGTAGATGAAATGCCACTGTCGAAGAAGGAGAGACGAATCCGGAGGGGTTGTTTTCAGGATCATTGGGACTGCTATCATAGACACCAGATTCATTCCGCCTGTCATGGTCGTGAGAATAATATCGAATTTGGTAGTATTCATGTCCTCATACCTGCGAGAAAGGCGGAACTAAAGGCAGCTACGGGGATGAGCATTCTCTCTGGCGATGCCATCATGTTAGACTTCGAAACAGCAGATGGCTCAATTGCTAATGTGATCGTTCAACAAACTTGCTGTGGTTTTAGGGCAATGAGCGACGAGTCCTCTGTCTCATGATCGTCCATTCAATCAACGGCTTACCGGACCAAGTCGGTTACCGAACATTGACTTTGCATCCCAGAGGAGGAATATAGCGTTGGCGTGTCGGATATGGACTGTCATCTCGGTGTGTCGATCATGGATTTGTCATCTCGGTATGTAGAACATGCATTGCCATTTCGGTGTGTCGAACATGTATCTAGGCATTGCCATCTAATGTCCCGACATTGCCCCAACAAGTGTCGAACGGGCATTACCTTACGGTCCCAACGTCCCGACGCCGACGCAGCCGATGCCCCACCGGGGCAATTCGGTGCAAGTCTGGGCAGGGTTCGCAAGATCAACGGGGTCCAGGATGCAAGACAATCCACACATCCGCATATGCATGGATATTAGCTTTGTAGCCATGTCAAGGCACAGGGGTTTTAAGTCTCGATCCAAACCACATGCATACAATACTGGACCAGGACTCGAGCATCGTGGTGTAACCTGGAAATTGGCTTATCCACCACCCACCACCCACATACACGGCCCAAGACTGCGATTACGCGTGGGCAGAATATATCTAGTGTTCTAAAAGCAGTACTATTACTCCTGTGTATCTTAGATACAACAACATAAATTTCTAGTGTAAGATTAGGATCTCGCAGTCACCCTCTAACGTTATAGCTAGATTTCCAGGGTTTACTGCGACGCAAGAGCCCAGGTTATGCCATTTACACAAGCCGTTCCGTGTCGGTCACAAACCATGGTATCCTAGTCAATCTACGTGAAAAGAGACCAGATAAATCTCCATTGATGCAATGCACCTTGTTTGATTAGGATACAATTGATGCCCTCTTCCCCAAGTCTCTACTCTAAGATTGATCGTGACATACAAGAAGATCTGCCATCTGCGCACTCCTAGTCATCTTGTGTGCTTCTTCAATATAAGCGCGGTCAATTGAGAAAGGTTTGCCCATGACGTTGGGTAGCCAGCGGCCGACCAATTGCTCAGGTATAACATCCTCTACCCGAATTTTCCGCTCCAAATAACGGCGGTAATCGTCAATGTGGCTGCGCAACAAACGAGAATGAAAAGGAATATCAATACCTTGGAGAGGAATCGTTGCTGTCCCAGCCTTGGCCAACATGACGCAGTCTGTACAAACAACGCGACGTGTATGGGTGGCAATGATCTCTCTCAACCTAGCAGGATCAAGACATTGAGGCGCTTCGAGCGATGCAAGCTCATTTGATACGCTACTCAAGATCGACAGTGCTTTGATCTGTATGAAAGTAAGTGGTTGCATGGGAGGAAACAATGATTGACAAATAGCGAATACTCACATGGCCTGCACAAACATATTGCCTGTTACTGACGTTGTAATTCACGATTTCAACCAAACTCTGTGCTCTTTCTTGAATGAGTTGAACCAGTTGCTGCAAATCGGCTTCTCCAAAAGCTATATTCCAGGCATCACATCAGCGACTTATTTCGACTTGACAGGTCGACAAGAAACTCAATTACTTACATTTGCTAATCCGTGACGGATCTACCGCCATCATTGAGTATCCCGTGTCACCATTTGCGTCTTTGGGCAAAGCGTTCTGCATTGTGAACGCCCGATGAAAAACGAGGTCCAGAAGTGCTTCGAAACTCATAAGGGTTGTGAAAGAGCCAAGAGCGGAGTACTCTCCAAGAGAGTGTCCTGCATAACGCGCATCGCGTTGTACCATTTCCCGGGCTCGAAGGTGCTGAAACTGAGCCATCTCCATCACCACGAGGGCAGGCTGCGCGAATTGAGTTGAGTAGAGTAGTCCTTGGGCTTTGTGAAACGTATATGATGTTGAATTATGGCTTAAAGTATTTCCCAAGAGACTGAGATCTTTCAATTCGTCAGCCATGGCAAGATAGTTCTCCTTGATCCTTCTGCCTCGCTTTCCTTTAAAGTGGATAGTCAAGGTCTTTGGATTTTGGCGCACTATATGGAGCAACGAGAAACCTATCGCATATCAGAGGTAAGCTGGCTTTACGACGACGACTAAGTTACTCACCAAATTTCCGTTTCAAGTACTCTTCTGCTCGGTCCCAGACAGCCTTGATTTCGCTGTTGGCTGTATACAACTTCATTCCCATACCAGGGGTCTGGCTACCTTGTCCTGTAAACGTATATGCAGTACCGACTTGTGCCACTATTGCCTCTGCAGACATCACGCGCGTGCCATCGTTCGCACTGGATACTTCCATGCGAAGTAACATCTCCCCATCGGTCATCGTCGTGTGCCGGATGTGCATCTTCAGTCGGGACCCGTGAAAAACCAGGCCGTGGAAAGTCGCCTGCCAGTGCCTAAATCGTGTGCGAAATTCGTCGCCAATTGCCGATTCGACGAAGCGTCGGGCAATGAGAGAGGTGTGCATTCCATGAACAACCTTGCTTGGGAGGCCAGCCCAGCGGGCAAAGAGGTCGCTTACATGGATAGGGTTCTCATCTCCAGAAACTCGAGCGTATGTAGCGCTGTCCAAAGGCACGCTCACCTCAATGCTAGCGCCACTAGACCAACCTGGATGGGAGAGTTCTTCTCTAGTATGCTTTGGAGTACCCCAACGACGAAGGAAGTCTGTCACTGGATTTTCCTTACACAGATGTTCTTCGAAATACACCAGTCCGACCTCTTTTAGAGTAGCAGAGTAATCTTCGACATATACATGGCCTTCAACCTTTAGGCTTTTCAAGCTACTATTGCCCATGTACCCACTATGTGATGTTTGTGATGTTATTCGAAAGAAGAGATTTTTTTGCAAGAGCTCTGGTTGTGGGTTCTTTAGTTGCAACCAGCTCTTGTCTTTGATGATCGCTTCTAGAGTCTCGTTATCGACACGGACCACCATATCGGGCTCATGTATGACAGCAAAGCATTCGCCAGATCTTTGGTTTGAGCTTCTTATGAAGAAATCCGACTTGATAACAACGACTTGCTCCTGGGCTCTGCTGATGATTGCCGTCACCTCAATATTCTGGCCGGTGAAGTGCAATTTTCGACGCGTGATTTGCGACTCAATTGTGACAGTCTGTCCCACGCGAAGAGGCAAAGTCTTCGCTTTATATCGGAAACTTATGGATCGGTGCAGAAGCTGTAATAAGTCACAGTCCAGATCCGGATGCATGAGGGGCTCCAGAAGTGATTGCCATGCGATGACCACACACATGTCCAGTGGCACTATCGAGCTCTGGGGGCTCCAATCGCGTAGCTCGGTAGGCGATGAGCGCTCTAGACTGGCAAATCTTTCGACGCTGGCCCTCGTTATTGTTTTTTCTGCGCTATAGTACCGCGCGCGGATGCCGGTGTCACGCTGACGAAGTGACTCTAACTTCTCAAGCCAAAGAGAGCGATACAGGTTTCGGATTGATGCTTTACGGTTGAAGGTATTTTCCAGTATCTCTACAGCACCTGCTGTTTCCCGCATCTCAAACTGGAAATATGTGGAACGGATTTCATTTGTCGCGCATTTTTGCACTTGGAGCTGAATCACAAACCTCGAAGGACCCTGGAGCCTCAGCGAAAGACTACTCCACATATTTGCACGCTCGGCCGTATGCTGCGTAAATTTGAAGGCTTGGAACTCGTTCTTTTTGTTGAGGATAACCTCTAGGATGTCTCCGCTGCGAGGCTGAATTGCGGTCTTGATTGGGTTCTCAAGAGCATGCCCTCCGAAAATGCACCACTGAGATTGAAGTATCAAACCAAGCTGTGTTGATCTAGCAACCGCTTCGATAACATAATCAATCTCAGGGACCACGTGACCAGGTAGATAGGTAAGCCTTGTAATTCTACCGTCTGAGAATGCATGCATCTCTTGGCAGATTTGCGTATCGAGAAGGGGCTTCAAGGGCTGGGTCGAGCTGTCACTAGTTGGCTGATATTCGTCCTTTTTGAGAATTCTGATATAGTCATCACAAATGCGATCCATAATGGTTTTCACAGGCTCGTCTACTATGGTCGAGAAACGGGCAGCGACAGGTCCGTGGATAACAATGACTCGCTGGATGTCGCTATCGAACACCGAATCAATATTCTCCGACTGCCAGAGAGTGTCTTTCTTGAACCATTTCTCGAAATTCTCGTCCAGACATGGGATGAAAGGTACCGGTTTGATTCCTTGTCGCTGGAAAAGAGCCATGAGTATCATGCAGTCCTCGGGATACATACTCGTTGCAGCCAGGGAGCCGAATAAGGCCTCGAAGTCTCGTGGAAGAGTCGCAGGGTTGTCACTGAGGCATTCTACAGATATCGATGAACGGGACCCAACCTCATGAACAAAGTCCATAACGATGCGGCAATATGACGTATCGATCCAATTTCGTCGCGACGTGGTGGACATAAGTAGACATAGACGCCTTACCATCTCTGAGTACTTCATTTCTTCCATCTGAACATTGTTGCCTCTCTCGTCGACGGCCAACCAGGGCCGAACGTAATCAGAGTTCAGGGCTTGAATGATCCAGTCCCTGTACTTGCGTAAATATATTAGCCTCTTGTGCACATCACGAATGCAAAATATGCGCTCATCGAATGCCTTCCATAGCAATGCTCCACGGGTTGCTAGGACGTGTATTGGCTGCCCGAATTCGGAATGAATAGAAATGACGCCGCCCTTTCCTTTCTTGACTGAAGTGCGCCAGTTGCAAGCATCAACGCCAGGAGTCTGGCTGATGAGATGTTTTGCTTGCAATGCTGTATGTGCCTCTTTAGCAATCATGATACGACTGCCTAAAAGAATTCCATCAAACGGCATCGGCGGGCGACCAAATGAACGAGACCACTGCCCAGTCAGGTATGCGATGGAGCTCTCTGCATCGCCAAACCCGCTTCCTGCAATGAGAACGATGTTGTCGCACTCCCTTATTCGGCTGTAACTTTCAAGAATGGGCGGCTCAAACTCTTCCATGGAATGATGTCCTCCAGCCCTGCCACCAGTCCATTGTAGACCAATGGTCAGGTCTGGATAAATCTTAGCAAGCTCAATGACTTGATCAATCGCTGAGAGGCTGCCAGGCTTGAATGACAGATGATTCAACTCTAAAGATGCCGTCCATTCTTTAATGACGTCGGGAGAGGGGACGCCAGCCCCTATTGTAAGTCCGCGAATCGGAAGGCCTTCTCGTTTCAATTTTTTCAACACATCAATCTGCCAGCCAAGGGCTTTAGGATTGATGTAGATTAGGTTGCAGGTGACTCCGCGGTACGCGGGTATAGCCACAGCCAGTCTTCGCACAGCAAGCTCAAAAGCATCGGCTCGATGATAGCCGCCGCCGGCTAATTCGACATGGTAACCGGCGTTCGCTATAGTAGCGACTACGTCACATGAGACTGTGGTAGGAGTCATGGCCGCAACCATAAGAGGTGGGACGTTGAAACGCTCCGTCATGCGCGTGCGGAGAGAGTAGCGGCCTGTAGAGTCACGGACAATGCGTGGCCCATAGGCTTCCTGCCAGGACAAATTTGATGGCATCAGGTAGAGCGAGGGCGGATAATCCTTCAAACGACGTAGCACAGCGTCATCAGCCATGTTCACCACATCCAAGCCAAGGCCCGCAGTTGCCTCCCGTATCCAAGCAGCTGTTTTATTAGGACCAAAAGCCAGGACACGATGAGCCCTAAGGGACTCACACGTTGCAGGCCAATCCATACATTTGACCAGCAACGACTCAACGACGTTGTAGAAGACTTTGGCAGCTGTTATGCTACCATTCTGTATGACACCGCCGTCCCGGGGAAACACTATGGGTATACGAAGCTCCTGGTTGAGTATCGGCATTGTTAATGCCAGGCTCAGCAGACTGTTCACGGCTGGAGCCATAATTGGCGTATTGAGCGGAGCTGAAACGGGCAAGAAATACAGGCGAAGCCCTTCTTGGCTCTGTTCCATTGATGGTATCCCCTTGTGAAGACGCGTGGAAACGCTGATCAGAGCTTCGGTTGGCCCAGCAATGATGAATTGATCATAAGAGTCCACGGATGCCAAATATATCCGATCGCGCTCGTTGCGAAATGCCGTCTTATTTTCAAGGCGTATAGCCATCTCTAGCGTGGCTCGTGGTAGTCCACAAACACGCAGAGCATGAGAAGGTTTGCTTCCAGTTATATCCAGGCACTCCTGGACCTGCCCCAATGTAACAGCCGAGCGCGGTGTCGCCTCGTGCACACTCAGGCCAATCCAAAACGAAAGCTCAAGGTAAGCATCTGCCAAGGAGTAGAAGGATGCCCAGTCGCTTGTCTGGGCAAGCGCCAAGGCGGTTAGCATGCCTTCGGCGCGACCAGACACTGAGCATAGGGATGCCGCAAATTCTCCTGGATTTAAGTCGTAGCTCTTGCACACTACGATGATTTGTGCAAAAGACAGAACAGTGTTGATTGGCAGACTGACAGGTGCTTCAGCAAGAACTTCTGGTTTCGGGCTCGCTTGCTTGCGGTTGATCCATCCTTTAAGATCGAAGTTGGTTGTGTGGTGAAAGTTATCTGAGCTTGACTGAGGCAGAAGCCCTTGGAGCGTCCCAGTGGCTCGTTCTATCAGTGCGTCGATTGCTGTAGGACTGTGGCGGTAGAGAGACCTGATCTCCTCCAGGGGGGTGAGGTTGCCATCGCCTTGGCCTCCAAACACGGCAGCCACTCGTGTCTTCTCTGCCGGCGTCGAGCGTGAGAGAGTCATGTCGTCGTTCTGTCGTATAGTCTTTGTTGGACAACTAGAACCCTGAGGGACGATTATGAGCGCGTTCAGATTCCGGCCCTGACACCTCCATCTCGGTCCGCGAGGCTGAAGGCTCGGGATTGACTCAGCTCGGGATTGATTATGTCACGATCAGGAGGTTGGACATTGCCGACACTCGGCCGAGGATGCCGCCAGGCGCATTAGTAGAGGCGTCCACCCAACCACTCTTTCTACAGTGCCACAGTGATGTTGTAAGACCGCAATGGCCCAGTCCTTCACTCTCGATGAGCAAGTCGTCGCTCACAGGTTGCTGGTGGAGCTCTTGGCGTGAGTTCATGGCAGTATCTGTATTGGAAAGCGTCTAACACTGCAGCAGCCATCAGTTTGCATTCCCAGTACAATGGACGGATAGTCAAAATGTCCTGCTCTCCGGCAGCTCTCCGGTGTCTCGTCTAATCGAATTGGGTCCTTCGGGCACATTGACCAGTATGGCGCAGAAACAAGCAATGGGATTGATTGCAGACGGTCGTCGTTCAGCAGCAGCGCCCCCAGTCTTGCTCTCATGCGCTGGTGATGATCCCAAGCTGTGGTATGAATACGAACAGGCCGTGGATGAGGAGTCCAAGGCCAGGACGTCGGAGGCGGATGAGGGGGGAGGACTAGCAGAGCAGGAGGCAAAGGAAGAGGCTGCAGATGAGGCCAGAGAGAAGAGGGCCCTCCAGGTCAAGACATCCAGCATGGTGACGAAGACTGCTCGGCCACCTGATTCGGAAACAGGCAACTCAACTGCAGCCGTGCCAGACTGTCCGCTACCCGGTTCGTTAGTACTTCGGATGCTGATTGCCAGGCGCTTGAAACGATCTCTCGCCCAAATCCCCTCCTCGACCTCGGTGCGCGAGCTCAGCGGGGGCAAGTCGATACTGCAAAACGAGATTGTGGGCGACTTGATAGCCGAGTTTGGCGAGCAGCGAGTGCCTGATGGTGCCGAGGACATGACTCTGAGCGAGCTGGACAGTCGCTTCGACTCCATGGCCACTGCGGGTCCGGGCAAGATATCTGGACTTCTTCTCGGCAGGCTGCTGTCCAACAAAATGCCCCTTGGTTGCAACGCTGCCTTTGTGCGCTCGCATTTGGCAGCCAAGTGGGGTCTCGGCCCGGGCCGTCAGGCCTCCGTGCTGATCACGGCGCTTGTGTCGGAGCCGACGGTCCGGCTGGGATCCATCAAGGAAGCGGTTGAGCTGATGGACGGGGCAACAGAGCAGTATGCCGCATGGTGTGGGCTCTCGTTAACCATCCGCGAGCAACGGCAGCAACAGCAGCAAGATCAGCAGCCATCTGTCCAAGTAACAGCAACGGCGCCGGCGAGCCAAACACACGATTGCATGTGCAATTGTGACAGTCACGTGACTGATATCAACGCATCCTCCGCCCAGGTCGAAGGCCTACAGGCCAAGCTGGATGCATTGGTCGCTGAATTCTCCGACGAGTACTTGACTGGCGCCCTTCCCGTCTTTGATGCCAGGCGAGTGAGGATGTATAACGACTGGTGGAATGCAGACCGTATACGTCTCGCCACGTGCGACAACGCCCACTATTGTTCCTTCCTAGTCTGATATGAACAACTCTAGGTTCAACTCTACGTAGGAGATCGTTTGCACAAAAACAAGGTATTCTATGTACCGGCCCTAACTGCTACCAGTAACCGATCATGCGGAATCCGGACCGACTCCGCTTGGTAGCTGTGAAATGAATGGTACAGCAAACCAATAGGGTTGTGTCAACAACGCAATCGTATTGTTCTATTCTAGTGTTCCTAGCCTATTCTGCAAGTATCTTGAAGTGTAAAGTAATGTTCTCATCATTTTATTTTCGTTTGTCGGTGCTTGATTGGTGTCTAGAAGTTGGAATATTGTTGTGGGTTATAGTTCACACACATAGTGTCTTTTCCCATTGGTGAGTCATAGTGGTGTTGCAAGGGGTAAAGGTGACAGCCGTCGTACACTAGCGTAAGGATGGCTCTACAATATAACTGTATCTGCTCTGTATACCTACGGGGGTAACGATCAGTGGACACTACATGAGTAGTGCGTGGACGTGTACAGGTTCGGCCGAAGACTGGACCGGGTCACCTTATTATGGGCGTCTGTCAACCAACGGAAGCAACACTCGTGTTCCCGAAGAACTACCCACAGCAGTGTCTTATGAAGAGCCAACCTAACAACAAATCAGTCGTAGGCACTAGTAAGAGATACTTAGTACGGGAACCTAGTTCCTCTTCTATTAAATAGATTGCGTAAATTAACCTATGTTCTAGTTAGATAGAATTTCATTATTCTTAAGCAGAGCCCTATTTAGGAAATTAAAGTCTTTTACTCATATTTGAAACTAAAAGATAGGTCCTCTAGCAAACCCTCACATGTCCTAGTAATACGCAATAGATTAACACAGCTAGAGATACTGTATGTGCAGATTGTGGAACACTCATCCTATTACAGCCCCTAATCTGCGTACGAGCCACCTTATTCCTGTGTTAGAAGCGCTAATAGGGAATAATTTCATTTTCGAGATCAGAAACAGCATTATATAGGCCCTATTCATTTTGAACATGGGTAGCTATGCCTAAGGTTCGATTCGCCAAATGGACGGGACCTTTCTCAACAGGTGCACAACTGGGAACCCAGAAGGAGTCTGGAACGGGTCGTTGCTTATCTCTCCCGGATCACCGAACGGGCCCCGAACTGTCATGGGTTTCGAGTGCCGGCACCATGCCTACCACAGCTTTTACATACCTGGCTGCCTAGAAGTAGTCAAGAATTAGTCATTGCTTGTTTTCCCCGCATCACCGAACGGCCCGCGGTGCAGGGACCATCCCTTTACAGTTGTCCCTAAAAATCTCACCGTGGGATGGGTCGGGCCGTTCGTGGTGCTTCCCCTTGTATGATAGCGATCGACGGCATCAGCCAACATATTCTGACTCGGCATGCTTCCGCCAACTACCCGTGTCCATGCTACACGGGAGCTTCCTCATCCTGAATGAGTCCGTGAAGAGCTAGGGGGCCCACCACCGGTTAGTATATTAAAACCTGTCCAAGGGTCATTAAAAGTCTCCAAAACGTCAAGGACGTTGTAGATCATAGAACATGCTACAACATTCGACAGCAGACCTAAGAATATCTAACTAATGGCACAGGTTTAATCACATTTGTGGGGCAAAATCGAATGCTTATCCGCTTATGTACGTACTGCTTACAACATTGTGTGTTTCATGGTCTCCATATGTATTGCATTGTCATCCTGCTATGAGAGTCTAGAACAAGCCATTATCTGGGTGATATCATTTCCGGTTATCGATTATGCAAGACTGTGAGAAACTATCTCATATTTGGAAAAGTCGCCATTCGCTGACATGGTCCTGCCTGCCAAAGACAATTCTGGGACACTTCGCAACGCTTCGTCTAGTACACTACACAGCTCAAGGCTGTCCAGCGGTGCGCCATGCGACAATTGAAAACGACACATGTGGGCCACATGCTTATGCCAGTCCACCTCAGCCGTGGGAGTCGTGGCTGCTATGATCACCAGCTTCGCATCGCAGTTGCAACGCAGAATGTCGGCATGCGCTTGAAGGCAGTTGATTACTTGACGCCCAACGGCAGCTTCATTTGTGTCCATGGATTGCAGAAACAAAACGTAGATGGATGCGTTACGGATAGGCTGTATTTCCGGATTGGATCGGCGGCAGCATTGGATGCGTGAAGGCACTGATTCTGGCATTTCTTTGCCGTCTGTCAACGGAAGTTCTTTGACGAATTGAGCTACGAAGGACAGTCGCGGATGCAGAGCAGCAAGAGTTTGAACGATAGTGAGGGAGGTACACTCGACCTGCATGAACCGTTAGCATGAACACAACTATAACGTATTGGGTGTGGTTGCCGCTCACGTCCACAACCAAAGCTTCTTTGCCCCCGTTTATACTCATCTGACTCAGAATATCAAGCAGCTCATCACCTGTGTCGCTTGCGATACATCTTATGAAGTGATCGAATTGGCGCGATAGTCGACTGTGTTGCAAAGCCTGATCGGTGAACGACGTTGACACACCAAATGCAGCACTGTACGGAGACTGGTACGTCTTCTGAAATGATTTGCTAGCTTCCACCATCTTTAACGAGGCAGGTAGGATGGTTTCAGTCAAAAATGCGAGGCCGTCGGATAGTGCGAAATTGTTGACGAATGCATACGACAGGGCGGTATGGCCAACGTGAGTGGATGCAACCTCTTCTAGGAATTCTGCTGCAATGAGCATGCGGCATATTCTGCGTAGATGCCCTTCTGGCACCAGAGCAAGTTGCGATAGATCTTCGTAAGAAACAGACTGATGTTTGGGGATGCACGGAAGGATATTGAACTCGCACAACCAACGGAGACATGCTACTACTTGAACCTGCGGAGTAAAGCTTCACGGTTAGCTAATAGAAATGAGGCTGGAGATTAGCGGGCTATACTTGCGTTTCGGACGAGGTGCCTGATCCAAATATCTGGCTCAGCGTTTCTAGGGCTAGGCTCTTCCATGTCGACAGGTAGAAGACGAAACCCAGGCGATCGTTCATAGCGCAAGCTAAGATACTTATTGAGCGATTCACAAGTTAATACCCGAGACGCGTGGCAACAACATTCGTTATCGGCTAAGCTTACATAACGCGTTGCTTGAGGAATTACCGGTAAGGCAAAAGCCCGCTTTCCTGGTTATGGGCTGATATTTTAGGAGTACCAATATAGCTACGGTGGCCCCCTACACAGTGCTACAACCCCCAGCCCCTCTACCCCTACTAGTGCAGTATAGCCATACATGCCTAGTAGGACCTAAAGGTAATAGTAGGTACCATACTACTGTAGAATAGTTAGTCTTAATTAGGCTTAAGGATAATAGTAACTTAAGCTAAATGTACATAAACTTGTTTTGATTAAAGGTTTAAGCTAGAGGCTTAATTAGGCTATTTATTTGCTAACTCTAATACATGCTTATCTTAACTACTAAGAACCTGTAACTGTTAGATGTGTCCTAATTTGTATGACTTTAGTAGACAACGTTGCTTCTAACTAATAAGGTGCTATAGCTAGGGTAGTAAATAGGTATAGGTTAGGTTAGGGTTAGGTTAGCTTATATTATACCCTAAAGCTAACCTAAACCTAACTACAAATTTTTGCATAGGCTATAGGCTTAGGTTAGGTTCAGGATACATAGGCTATAGGCTTAGGTTAGGTCTAGGGTCTTACGTATAACAACGCAGGTAGGTAGGGCATCTAAAAGGTATCCTATACAACTTAAAGGCATATAGGAGTGCGTGTCTATATAGAAAAGGATAAGATTCCTACACCTATAGGTCTTATATAAAAGGATAAGAAGAACATGCCTATCCTAATATAGGCGAGCTGCTCTCTATATATATTAATAAGTTAGGCCTTTACTAGGGCTAACTTAGTGTAGAATAATAGGCAAATGTTGCAGGAGGGATAACAACCGGATCACGGAGCATCTTAATCCAATTAATCCCAATTAATGCTAATTAATCCTAATTAATACCCCTGTATAACCCACTATCTAATCAACTGCTAGCTTACTACTAAGTGCCTAATAAAAAGTAGGAGCTCTAGTAAGGAAGGTTTACTAATTATACACCTTCTAGTAAGGGTAGCTAAAGCTCTATATATATAAGTCTAATCGTAGTAGAGACAATCTAATAATCTATCTCCTAAATTATTCCTAACCTTTGTGAAGGGCTTAGGCTTACGCCTAAGCCTGGGCCTAACACAGGATGGATAGAGTGTAATACTACTACTAAGCGAACACGAAACACACCTATAAAAAGGCAAAGAGGGCTTACGTCTCCTTTAAGATACTAAATACTATTATTAACCCTTATTATATGCTCCCTTAAGGCTAGTCTATAATATTTTAGTATCTTCTTTTAAATATACTATAATAGTAATAAGAGATAGACGCGCTAGATATTTAGAATAATTAGGTATAACCTAATATAGTAGAAAGGCTAATATAGTAGGTCTATATATTTATAGAATAATAGGCTTAAGACTCTACTATAATAGCTATAGTATGTTAATAGAATAAGGAAATACGCAATTAGATTCTATCCTAACCCCCCTCTAAGCCTGCTAGTTTTAATAACCTGCTACTTCTACCCCCCTCTACCTTATATTATAAAACCTTCCTAGTTAGCTTGCTATATAATAGCACTAAGGCAAACCTCTCCTCCTAGTAAATAACTATAGAATTTAAACTACGTGTAGATAAGGTCTATATTAGGGATAAAGAGGCAAGGTTTATATATATTTAGTCCTAGTTATTACCTATAGTCTAGCATGCTATAGCACTATACTTTAAGGATAGTGCATATAAGTGTTAGGATATAAGCAGGTTTCTTAACTACCTAGTATTCTATTATAGTAACTATTATAGGTAGGAGCGCGCCTAAGTTATATTAGAACACCTATATTAGGGCTAAAATTAGCCTTTTATAGAGTTCTTTATAAATTTTATATAGCTTCTTATATAGTTAGGAGGTCTATACTAGGATAATAAAGAGAAGCTTTTATAACTATACTAATTACTTAATAGCTATATACGCTTAGTTTCCCTTAATAGGGGAGTCTTAAGGATAAACTATAATATAGCTACAAAATAATATAAGATAATTATAGTAGATATTAAAATAGCCTCCCTAGAATTAGGCTTTCTTTAGGCTTGTAAGTCTAAGGAACCCTAGTAGAAGTCTACTCTAGATTAGGAGAGTAATATAAATATAGTAGAAGTAGTAGCCTTATTAAGTGCACCTACTAAACTACTAACATTACGTCCTAACTAGATCCTATAGGACCTATTTAATACACAAAAACTAGCAAAGGTTAATACCTAGTATAGATAGGGTAGTTATTTTATATAGGTATATCCTAATACCCTATTACTATAACTAGTAGGTATTAAGATAGTTATAGTATTAGCAAGCGGCCCTAATTTAGGAAACTAGCCACCCCTAACCCTAGGCCAAGTTAGGGGTATAAGGAGTACACTATAGTAGAGGAATTATTAATAGTAGAGGCTAGTAAGTATCCCCTAGATATTAAGGTAGGGTTAAATAATCCTCCTTTTTTTGTTCCCCTTCTCCTATATAGAGTAGAGAATATGCAAGCAATAGTTAATTTAGGGTGCTAGTGTTTTAGTGTAGTTAAGGAAAAGTTAGCAAGATAGATTAGTAGAAACTTTATTAATATTCCCCTGTAACCCTTACAATATACCTAGGGAATTACTAAGAGTACAAGAGTTTTATAGTTAGTAGTATTAGACTATAATTTAGATAGTTAGCAGTCTTAGCTTTTAGCTTATATAGTACCTAGTCTATCCTATTAATTAATACTAGGCAGACTATAGCTATGTAGAGAGGGCGTTATTATAGACATCCTATAAGGCAAATTAGTAATTAGGGAGGTAAGGAATATAGTAGTGTAGTAGAGCAGGAGACGCCTATATCCTACCTACATCTCTATTATCTTAGGTTTAGTTATAGCAGGGTTATTAAAATAAAAATGCTAATAGGATAATATATAGGTATAAATTTGTATATTAAATATACTAGATATTTTATAGGTAATATGTAACTTGCACCTAGTAAAGTATCTAGGAAGTATTAATAGTAGAAGTCCTATTAATATATATACTATCTATATTACTAGTAATATAGTCCCCTATAACCCTAAGTATAAAACTAGGAAGATAAAGTTACTACTAGAGCTGTAAGAGTTTAGGGACGTATTTAATAAAGAATTAGTAGATAGCTTGCTACCCTATTAGGGTAGTATAGAATACTATATTTAGTTAATAACTCTCCTAGATAGAACCTAACCTAACCCCCTATAGGGTCCCCTATACTATATATCGCGTAATTAATTACTAGAACTAAGAATATAACTTACTAGATTAATAGACAAGGGCTAGATTTAAGCAAGCTCTTCTATAGCTAGAGCTCTATTATTATTAGTAAAGAAGCTATTAGGTAGTTAGCGCCTTTGTGTAGATTACTAGAGGCTTAATAGCATAATAACCTTAGACTAATACCTACTACTACTTATTAAGGAAACTTTGCGTATACTATCTAGCGTAAAATAGTTTATAAAAGTAGATATTTGCGCTACCTTTTATAAAGTTAGAATAGTAGAAGGTTATAAGTCCTTAATAGCGTTGTGCACCTAGTTTAGGCTGTATAAATAGTTAGTATATCTATTTAGTCTTAGTAGTGCGCTATCTACTTTCTAATATTATATTAATACTACGCTTATAAACTTGCTTAGATTATATATAATAGCTAACCTTAATAATATCTTAATTTAGTTAAGAGGAGACTAGTTTTACTATATAGAAAAAGTAAAGCGTGTACTTATGCTATTAAAGGAATTAGGGGTACACCTAGATTTAGAGAAATATACTTTTAGTATTAAGGAGGTACGCTACCTAGGCTATATTATTAAGGCAGGCAAATTACTTAGACCTAACCCTAAAAAGCTTAGGTTAGTATAGGAATAGGAATCTCCTAGGAATATAAGAGAGGTAAGGAGTTTTCTAGGTTATACTAACTATTACTATAATTTTATTATAAGGTTTTCTAAAGTAGCAGCGCCCTTAAACTAACTAACTAGAAAGAATACCCTATTCTAATAGGGGGAGGAGGAATAAAGTATATTTAATACACTAAAAAAGGCATTTATATCTAGACTAGTACTAATATATTAGGACCTAGCTAAAGACACGTTACTAGAAGTAGACTATTTAATATACGCTCTTAGGGGCTACTTATTACAAAAGGTTAGGGGCGTCTAGCGCCTAGTTGCTTACTACTCTATAGCACTAACGCTAGAGAGACAAAACTATATAATATATAATAATAAATTGCTATCTATTATTAAGTGTCTTAAAAGTTAGTTAGTAGAGTTATAGAGTATTTATAAGCTATTTATAATATTTATAGACTATAAGAACCTAGACTATTTTACTAGCCTTTAAAGCTTAGGTAAGTAATATTACTACTAGGTAGAGGAACTTTTAAAATATTAGTATATCCTATAGTATAGACCTAGCTATCTTATAGGATAACCTAATACCTTAAGTAGATAACTATAAGATTTAAACTCCTCTAAAGCAACACTATAGTTAGTTATACGCCCTAAATTAATTTAGGTTATAGTATTAGAAGTAGAGCAGGCGTCTAAGTTACTAAAGGGCACTAGCCTCTTTGCTAACCTATATATATAGACACTATAGGATAAAGTAGTACTAGAAGATAAGATATACTAACTACGTCTTAATATAGTTTAAAAGGCGCTAGGTCTTTCCTAGTTTTAGCTAATACAAAGTAATAGATTAGGGACTATATAATTAGTGCACACAGCACTTTGCTTTAGAGGGGCGTTATTTAGTTACTAATATAGGAACCCCTTATAACTACTATTATATAGCAAGTATATAAATTAGGTTTAGTAGGATATCTAGGAAAGAATATAATATTTTAAATACTACGCTATAACTATTATTAGGATAGAA